AATTAAAAAAATAAAATAATTAAAAGTGACTGGAGATATAGCTCAGTTTAATCTCCAGTACTGCGCCCCAAAAATGTTTTTTATTCTTGTCCTAGAAACAGGAGGCACTGTAATGTATAGCGTGTTAGATGGGACCACATCTGGAAGGACCAGTGTGTCAGCAAGGAAGCAGAGAGGGGAAAATGTCAGGGCATGGTCCTTCTCCAGTACAGGGCTTTTCCACTAGAAGAACGGGAAGGCAGGTATGATGGATTGGTTAGTTTGAGTAATTTTTGCCAAAGCAGGGTTTTAACTTTCCATTCTCCTGCCTTAGCCTCTCAGAGTGCTGGGACTACAGACATATACTACCATGCCTGGCCTAAATATGACGATCTTTTAAGAAAACAAAACAAACTGCACAGCACATTTTTTACACAAGTGTAAACATGCAAGACTTCATAATTAAGCACAATTAATAGTTAGGCACAGTAGATTAATAGTTTTCAAGTACTGTTTAAGATGTCCCTCCACAAGTTCATGGGTCCAAGTGTGGGGCTTTTGGAAATCATTGATCATGAGGGCTCTTGACTTCAGGCTGAATCTATTGGTGGATTTATAATTATTGGGGAGTGATGAAGATTTAGGAGGTGGGACCTAGGGGGAAGGGAGAGTATCATGGTGCATGACCTTGGGAACTGTATGTTGTCCCTGTTTACTTCCTTTTTGGCTTTCTCCCTCTCTCTTTGCTTTACTGGCTGCTGTGAGGTAAACAGCTCTCCTCTACTGTGTCCTACTCCATGATATTTCTGCCTCATTGCGGGAAGAGGAGAACCAGTAGAGAGCCATTTCACCATGGGCTAAAACCATGAACCAACGCCATGGACTTTCCTCCTTAATGTTATTATTCTCAGGTGTTTTGTCATAACAAAAAGCTAACAGTACTGTACCACTGACTGAATCCATTCCCTCTCAGATGTGTATTTTTTCATACTATGTTACCTTTAAAATGGGATGTCTTAATAGTTGATTGTATCTGTTTATTTGTTTGTTTGTTTTGGAGGCAGAGTCTCACTGTGTATTCCAGGGTACTCTTGAATTTACTGTGTAGCCTTGGCTGGCCTCAAACTATCAGCAATACTCCTGCCTCAGCCTCCTGAGTGTGAGGATTACAACATATGTGCACCACCAGGCCAAGCATACCATAATTTTTTTAGCTTTTTTTCTTAGTGACACGTGAAATAAAGATGTGCTTAATCTATGTTTTACAACATTTTATGAACTATAACATAGCCAAGGAACAATCTTATACAGTAAAGGCATTGTACTCCCTGTGTTGATCAGCAAATGCAATTTAATCTTAATTTCAAGTTGAGTTTTCTCAGATTTTAATAAAATTCCAGTAATAAAGGCTTATTCGTGGAGCCCTTGACCAGCATTTGTGAAGTTCTGGCACTGCCCCCACCCCATTTTCCCCTAATATTATTATTATTACTTACTTACTTATTTATTTTTGTGCCAGGGATCAAACTTGGGTCCTTGCGCTTGTGAGGCAGGCAGCAGAACCACTGAACTAAATCCCTGGCCCTCCCCTGATATTAATACAAAAGCAAGGGATCAGAGTAGCTTTTGTCATTATCAACACAATACAAAATCATAGTAATTATGACTCTAGCACATAGGGAGATAGGTGGGCAAGTAAAAGAGAATTAAAAGCCTATGAATGGACTCTCAGGCATATTTAAAGACCTGGCTGATAAATATGTAGAGTGATGGACTATTCAGCAAATACTGACATTTATCCATGTGTGAAATAGATAGATCTTCATCTTACTCTGTATATAGGAATGAGTTCTCAAGTAGATTAAAGGCGTAAATATGAAGAACAATTTTGTATTATTTTAAGAAAAGCATATCAAGTGGGGAAGGGGAGGTTTTCTTAGGGCGCTATAAGCACAAAGCATAGAGACTTAGGTGAAGTAATACTGAAACCTTTTGAACAAAAAACCTTTGTAAACTAGATTGACAATCTATAGACTGGAAAAGGTTGTCATTCCAAAACTGAAAGGGAATGGAACCTAGAATTTATAAAAGACATGTAGCTCAATCATAAATGGCTACAGTAGTCTTTTGAGTATTGGATATGAACAGATACACAGAAGTAGATTCCTAGGTGGTCAATGAATATAAAATCTGATTGATAAACTGGGGAATACAGGGGTGAAGGGAGGGCAGACAAGGGGAAAAAATGAGAACCGAGACCTGTCATGTAAAGGTACAAGATCCCGAATGTAACTGTATTGTTTACCTAAAATGTACCAATAAACTCATGAGAAAAAACAAAACAAAACTGGGAAATACAAAATAAAACCACAACAAAATGTCATCTTAACATCCACTAAGTTTTTAAAAATAGGTAAGCAAAAATATGAATGTTGCCAGAGGGAACTTAATTCGCTATTGAGGAAGTATATATTTGTTGGACTGTTTTGGAGAACAGTTTCTAATATTTGCTCACCTTGTCTCAGTATGTTTAATAGTTTTAGTCCTAAACAAACTTGAATATATGTACGAGGAACTCCATACGAAAGTCTTCACTCCAGAGATTTTAGTGAAGACTAAGAAATAGTCTAAATGTCCATTGATAAAGATTTTAAAATGGTGTTATGTTTATGAAGCAGTTTTGTTTAACACTCTTGAAATGAGTAAGTCAATCCCCACAAATACCAATACAGTTAAATCTTTAAATATGTTGAGTAAGGCAGGCACACCTGTAATCCAGCACTCTAGAAGAGCTAAGGCAGGTTGGGGGATTTAGCTCAGTGGTTCTGGTGTCTGCCTCTCAAGCATAAGGGCCAGAGTTTGATAAAACAAAACAAAACAAAACAAAACAAAAAAACCCCAAAAAAACCAAAAGATAGAAGAATTGCAAATTAGAGCTGAGCCTGGACAACTTAATGAGCCCCTATCTCAGAATAAAAAAGATTAAAAGGGCTGGAGATAAAGCTTAATGTGAAGGCCCTGGGTTCATTCCCCAGTTCTACAAAACAAAACAATGTGTTGTGTGAAAATATGGACTACAGATACTCCAATAAAGCTTGAAAATATTCAGAATGTTGTTTATGAATGTATATACACACAGTAATTGTCATATACAGTGATGATAATTCAGGAAGCAAATTGTGTTTGGAAAAAATGAGGTAAGGGAAGATATACATAAGCCAATTGTGATGGCACACATCTGTAATCCCAGCACTTAGGAGGCTGAGGCAGGAGGATTGCCATGAATTTGCGGCCAGCCTGGGCTACATAGTGAGATCCTGCCTCAAAACGACAAAAACAAAAAGAAAGGATATACATAGTAATTATCTAATATTTGTTTAGTAAAACATAAATTAAAACTATATTTGTATATATACATACCAGTGGCTTAAAAAATAATGTATCTTTTAAAATAACTAACATTCAGATAACAGATGATTTTTTTAAAAAATATTATTTGTTAAATAATATTGGGCCTGGCATAGTGGTGCACAGTGGTAGTCCCAAGTACTCTAGAGATGGACAGGAAGATCACAAGTTTGAGTCAAGCCTGGGCAATTGAGCAAGACCCTCTCATAAGAAAAAAATAAAAAAGGGCTGGGATGTAGCTCATTGCTTCCCCGATTTAGCCCCTGTACTGCAAAAACAAAAGCATTAATAACCAGGCAACATTTTCTTGAACTTGTTACTTTTATTAGTGCATGTTTACAGTACGTAATGATTACATTCATCATTGAGAGTTGTTATATGTGTGTTACACATCTTAATTCTTCTTGTCTCCCTACACTATCTCTTGGTCCCCTTCCCATTTGTAAAAAAATCTATTTACCTGTTGCCTATTATCTATTATTTTGGTTTTTATTTATATTTAAGGTTTCTCATATAAGACAAACCATGTGATATTTATTTTCAAGCTTGTGTGTCTGGTTTATTTCACTTAATGTAGTCTCAGGGTGCATCCATTTTCCTACAAATAGCTCACATTTACCTATGTGGCAAAGTAGTACTCCGTGCAAGGTTTGACGCACAATAATATGATTTACAAAATATGCAGCTGCTTGATTTTTCTGTCCTTTGTGTTATTGGTTGATCCATTAGCCTAATCATATGATATCATTATTCTTGGTAAACTCAGGACTGCTAGCTTTGATACATAGCGTATGTTATTGTTCTTGGTGAGCTATAATCAGCTGCTAATTAGAAGATGTATTGTAAATGCAATTGTTGGCTGTGCTAGTCAGCTTCCTTTGATGTGACAAAATACTTAACATGAACATTTTAAAGGAGGAAAGGAATTTTTTGGCCTATGGTTTCAGAGGTTTGAGTCTGTGGTCATGTGGCTCTGTTGCTTTGAGGCCTGTGGCCAAAGCAGCAAATTATGCTAGAAATACATATATGGCTGTTCATACATAACTGTTTACTTCAGGGCAGGTGGGAAGGAAGAGAGAGAATAGGACAAGGGTCCCAATACCTCTGTACAAGCATATCCCCAATGACCTGATATCCTTCCACTAGGCCCCACCAATAAAAGATTCCATTACCTCTAAGAGCCTGCAGCATATAGGCCTTTGGGGACATTTAAGATCTAAACCATAATAATGGGTTTTATGCGTATCATCCATGTATCATTTGAATAGGACAGTAGCTTGTGTGTGTATCTGTGTGTGAAAGAGATAACATTTCTATTATCTAGAATGCAATCTGAGAAACACCATCTTGCTTGACTGAAAATATATGTGTAGTTGCTTACTATTTGACTTTACTCTAAAATATGAAGAGAAAAGCTGGATTAAAATCTACTGTTATGCACTGATTTACTGTTTGAGTGAGAATAAATAAACCTATATTCTTTGAAGCTTAATTCCAAACTTAGAGTGATTTTTTTTTAGTATGTAGCTAGATTATTTTCTAATTTCTTCATTAAAAATTTGGAGGTGCCACTGAATAATTTTGTTCTTATCATTTTTTTTTTCCTCACACAGTTGCAGTCTTGTAGTAAGAGTGAGTTGATATCAAAGAGCTCAGAGATCCTAATGATGTTTCAGCAAGTTCATCGAAAGCCCATGGCATCCTTTGTTACTACTCCTGTTCCGCCAGATTTTACCAGGTATGACAGTTCTCAAATGTAATTTTTATTTGAAGTTTATATGCATGGGTGTACACATTTTCAAGGGAATGAGTTATTTTTTTTAACTCTTTTTAAAGTGCTGTTTGTAATCATATGCACTGATGAACTGTTTATTTTATGCATGTAAATCTGGTCTCCAAAGAAGTCTGATGGACTCAACTTTTTTTTTTTTTTTGGTACCGGGGATTGAACTCGGGTCCTTGCGCTTGCAAGGCAGGCCACCGAACCGCTGAGCTAAATCCCTGGCCCTGGACTCAACTTTTGACGGTCAAAAAAAAAAAGATAGTGAATCAGACTTTTTTCTTGGAGCCCCATTTTTGTTATTTAAAAAATTGATCTCATTAGCTTCATCAGTATTTATTTTTTTATTTACCTTTTGAATTAACTCAAAAATGGGTGAGATGCCAAAGGAATTTACACATGACATCGTATCTTCACATCTTAAAAGATAGTGGAAGAAAAAACTACTGCAAAAAGTAGCAATCTCTATACCTTTCTAGTTTTCCTCTTGGACCAAGTCTTTGAATTCTTCAGAACAGCATATTTTTTCAAGCAAATTTAGAATTATACTGTGGTGTTAGATTGGTTGTTAACGCTAACATCTAGGTTCTGTTGAAAATTATCCATACTAGATCATATACCCTAGGCCATTTGGAATGAAGTTTCTGTGTATGTATGAGTCTGCTGAAATGACCACGACCGTGACAAAGTACCATAGACAGGGTAAACCACAGAAACTTGTTTTCTCAAGAGTGTCCCCCCCACCCTGGAAGAGAGGTAGACAGAATCTCTTTGTAGCGCAGGCTGGCCTCAAACTTGCAGCAGTCCTCCTGCTTTAGCCTCCTGAGTGCTGAGATTACACATGTGTGCCACCATGCCCAGCTTATTTTCTCGAGTTTTTGTTTTGTTTTGTTTTTTGTTTTGTATTTTGTACTGGGTATCCAACTCAGGACCTTGCGCTTACAAGGCAGGCAGTGGAACCACTGAGCTAAATCCCCAGCCTGAAGGGTAACTTTATTTTGATTGCCTGATTATTACACTCTTATTCTCTCTCTCTCTCTCTCCCTCTCTCTCTCTCTCTCTCTCTCTCTTATTAATAGTTTTTTTTTGGGGGGGTGTTATTTTGGTACAGGGATCAAAATCGGGACCTTAAGCTTGGGAGGCAGGTTGTGGCACCACTGAGTTAAATCCCTGGCTCTCATATTTCTCAGAGTTTTGAAGCAAGAAGTCTGAGATTATAGAACCAAGAAATTCAGTGTTGGTGAAGCCCCTTAAGGTTGTAGTTGACTTGACAGTGTCTTCACATGTCACTTTTCTCTGTTCATGTGAGGAGACAGATCCGTCTCTGGTGTTTCTTCTCCTCTAGTGTCCAATGAGGACACTAGCCTCATTGGATTAGGGCACCACTCATGAACTCATTTAACTTTAGTTGCTTTCCTTAAGGTAATTTTTCTCTGTGTGTGTTGCCACATTGGGGATTAAGTTTTCAACATAGAAATTTTGGTAGATACAGTTCAGTTCATAATATTGGATACAGACGAACACTTATGGTTAGTTCTTTTTATTTATTTTTAATTTTTTTAGTTCTTTTTAAATCGACATTTATTTCTATCATGATGGAAAAAACCACTGCTTCAGGTTTATGTTTTCAGTTGGTACACTTTATTTTATACTTTAGTGCTAAATTATGGAGTAATATCAAGTTTTTCTAGCATGTTGAGGGCTGTGGTTCGTTTAGAAAACAGCTTTTGCTATAAAAGTGATTATATGTTGAGCTGCATTTCTTTATTTTCTACTCTGATGCCTTCTGTTTGCCATAGGGCAGTGATGCTGGACCTTTTAGCGCTTTCAATGATAACAAACAGCCGGCTGTGGCATGCCTGCCATAGGATCGCCACCACTGCCATAGGGCATTCATTGTACTATAGCAGAGAATATGTTAGAAGGCAGGGATTTTCAACCTTAGCAGTGTTGACATTTTTGAACAAGATAATCATTTGCGAGGTGGAAGGAGCTTTTCTGTGTATTGTAGGATGTAGTACCTCTTGCCAGTAGCACTTCATCACTATCACCTTGCAGCTATGACAGATGTCTTGTTTCTCCTCATAAATGCATTTCTGAGGACCATAACCACTCATAGTCCTATAAACAGAAGGGCCAACTTAATGACCAGCAAAGGAAGCCAGCCAGCCTGCCTGTCTGCCTGCCCCCTCCCACCCTTTCTTCCTTCCTTTTTTTGATTTCTTGAGACAGGGTCTCACTTTGTATTTCAGGCTGGCCTTGAACTCACTATGTTACATAGGCCAGCCTCAAACTCATGATGATCCTTCTGTCTCAGCCTGGGAATGCTGTAATTACTGGCATGTGTCATTATGCCAGGCTAATATTTATATCTCTTTTTAAAAATATTTAAATCTCTTCAAACACTGAATATTATTAAAATTCTGAGTATTTGCTATCATTAAGTTTGGCTGAACTAAGAATATTCATTAAGATCACAGGGCTGCTGCTTTGATAGTGTGATCAGATATTTGAGTTTTGAAGATAGCTTTTTGAACCAGGCTGTCACCACTGGAATGAAACACAGATTTTATAATGTCATGTATAAAGATTAGTGTGTTTCAGTTCACATTGTGATACAACAGTCACCTGTATAAGTTCCCAGACCTGCTTCCTTGAAGTTTTTTGGCGTGGTATCTAAAAAAAATTAACCTTTCTTTTTCTCCCCCTCTCTTTCCCTCTTCTTCCCTTTACTACTTTTAGCTGCTTATCAGGCAAGCAACAGTGCTTTCTACTTTGATAGTTAATCACATCACATCTTTAAAGATCATTCTTTCTCCAGTAATGTCCATTCCCTCATTAGAAAATTTGGCTTTTATGCTTCAACTTCAATTTTAATTGAAAACTGTTCTCTGATTATAGTATATGGGAAGCAGGGGTTCATCTTCTGATGTACTGACCAGCAAAGAAAAGAGCCAAAAAAGAAAGAACAGCATTCATTGGGTTCAAAATTGTTTTGGTCCTTAATGTCTGATAAAATATGATTTAGAGCAAAAATAACAACAAAGTAAATATACCACAGTGGATATTAACATATTAGTGGAAGAAACATACAGACATCAGGCACCCGGAGATTGGTTGAAGTCTTCAGACACTGGGGAGGATGTTTTGAATTTGGTAGGTAAATTGACCAACACATATGATTGAAACATTATAACCCAAACATAACCCAAAATTGGCAACTTTTTAATTAAATTTGAAGATTTCATTGGGAAGACTCATTTAGTGCTCTGATTAGGTTTATGGGTCCATTTCAGTTTCCCAGGCACTAATTGCATTGGTCCTGATAACTGAGGTTTGTGTATGTTAAATGTTAGAGATCATAAAATGGGGGGATCTTAGAGTACAACTGCATGGCTATACAACTTCTAAATCTTAAATCTGTTATGTGAAGAACTAAGGATTGACTGGGTAAAAAAATCCAGGGATGAGGAATATGAGTCTTCTAAGAAAAAGTAATAACTGCCTAAGGTTATGATAGTAGCATTTGACATAGTCAATTTGGATAGTAGCTATATGGATAACATTTGGAGGGCAAAATGTATCTACTTAATATGAAAAGGGTGTGACATATTTAGCTGAATAATGATTAAATCTTTACTGTATTTTCACATAACAAACCACTAATTCAGGTACTCTCACAGTGTGATATTGATGTATCCTGTCTCATTTTGGCCAAAATTTGGATGAAGTGAACTTTAGAAAATATAATAGAAGATGTGGTGAGATGGCTTTCAGTTTGTTTTGTTAAATTTGTAACTATATCAGGCTGGGGAATTAGCTCCACTGCCTACCTTGCAAGCACAAGGTCCCAAGTTTGACCCCCCCATTACCCCCCACCAAATGTAACTATATCAAACTGGTAATACTCTGTATTACAGATTGTGTAATTGTGCTCTAAGCCTAGTTAGCAGCAAAATAGATTATCCCATACCCTACCTAATGTTTATGGTTCAGTTCTCTTGAGAGGGATTGCATGGAACTAAAGTTGCCATGAAAGTGTTAATGTGCTAGTATATCTCAGTTGCCTATAAAAATATAAAGATTTATAATGATACCTCCTTTGATGAATGCTTCTGTTTGCAAACTGGTTCTCGAAAGTGGTCGACAAAATTTGCTTCTGTTCATGAACTCCACATATTGCTATAGCCATCTTCCCTACACAAACAAAAATGAAGCTGTCTTCCCTGAAATTGTAAAACAAATTAAGTTCATGAACTGAGGTACTACTGTATTTGCTAGTAAATAGTCTCAAAATACCTTAGTTCTGTTAGTATACTTACTAGTTTGTTCTGAAGAAGAAAGTTTCGGGATTGTGAATTTTTTTTAACTTTTGCTATTACTTTCTAGATTTTGTAAATCTTTGCCTTTTAATTTTTACTTTAAGCCCATCTATTATATTTAATAACTCAAATTCCTATACTAAGCATCAACTTTTTGCTGTTTCCTAGACATCAATATTTTACTATTTCCATGAATTCTTTAAGTTAGTCTCTTGTGTTTGTTTTAATACTTAATCATACATTGTCTTTTAAAAAATACTTTAAAAGTGGGCCGGGGATTTAGCTCAGTAGTTCCGCCTCCAGCCTTGCAAACGCAAGGACTCAGGTTCCATCCCTGGTACCAAAAAAAAAAAAAAACTTAAAAAAAAAATTGTTGTATCTACATTTCAGTTGTAAATTTTTGATGGTTTTATGAACTCATTAGACAAAGTTATATTCAGTAAGGATTTGGAAATATTTTGTAAGGACTAGTTTAAAGTTTTCAATATATTAGAGGGATTTTTTAAAAAACTAAATGAAACAAACTAAATATTTTTTTTCCTTTCCTTTTTTTAGTGAATTAGTACCGTCTTATGATTCAGCTACTTTTGTTTTAGAGAATTTCAGGTAAGAAGTTTTGATGACTCTAGCTTTTTGATACATATACCTACATAAGGAAAAGACTAAGAAGTTGTTATTCCTCAGTAGGCTAGAGACCTATTGAACTTTATCACTCTTGGAAGAAATAAAAAATATAAATAAATTTCCTTTTAGAAATGTAGAGGTGGTCTTTTTGTACAAGCTGTGTATTCCTTATCTGAAATGTTTGAAACTAAAAGTATTTGAGATTTCAGATGTTCAAATATTTGCATCATACAATGAAATGCTTGGGTTATGAGATCCAAGTCTAAAAACAAAATTCATGTAAGTAGCATATACATATTATACACATAGCCTGAAAGTAATTTTACATAGTGTTGTTAGTGCCCCTTCAATTTGTTTGTTTGTTTTTAGAGACGGCCTTATGCAGGCTGTAGTTGAACTCACTGTGTAGCCCAGGCAGTCCTTCTGCCTCAGCCTCCTGAGTGCAGGGCTATCGGCTTGTCTTATCATGGCCAGCTATCCCTTTAGTTTGAATGCTTCATGTCATATGAAGTTGGGTTTAGAATTTTCCACTTGTGACCTCATGTTGGGAGCTAAAAAATTGCAGATTTTGGAATATTTTTAATTTCAAATTTTCAGATTAGGGTTGCTTGATTTGTTCTATATAGTATCTTAAGGACTATTATTTTCTCTATTTTGGGAAAGGAAAACATTTTTAAGTGAATTTGTTTAGTTTTCTCTAAAATAGAGGGCTGGGAATACTATGTGTAGGGGTCATGAGCCTCCATCTCCCTATCATAAGAAGTAAAAGTGATGGGAAGAAGGGGTATGGGAAAAAAATGAGAACCAAGACCTGTCATGTAAACGTGCAAGATTCCAATGATGAATGTAACTGTACTGTATACCTGAAAAGTACCAGTAAACTCAATGAGAAAAAAAAAGTGATGGGAAGAAGTTCATTGAACTCTGTTTATTTCAGCTGGAAGTGAGAAATTGTGGATAAGAGGCCATTGTTATAAGAAATGTGAGGCTATCAAGGTCAGCATGAAAGTAGAAACTAAAAATACAAGGTCTTTGGGAAGGTTGGTAATAACCAACAGAGTGAGGGTATTTGACTTGTCCTTTCTAATGGGATGATTTTGCAGCTGAAACATTGCTTCTCTGAGGTTTTCCCCATGTGTTAAGGTTTAGCACATAATTATGTTACACAGAAGTGAGGAGGAAACATTCTGCATGTGTTTTTTTTTTTTATTTTATCCCATTCTCCCCAAGCCCCTTCCCCTTCCTTAGTATAAAAGCTTTGTTTCCATTTTTTCCCTTTTTCTCATCACTTCCTTTCTCTCCTCCCCTTTCTTCTTTGTTCTCCTTCCCATTTGAACACTATCTTCCCATTTCCTAACATCCATTATACATCTCAGTCCTTATTTCCACATACAAGTTTCTCACACCAGAGCTGAGTTTTTTGGGTTTGATCTTTAAAAAAATTTTTTTCTTGGTGTTGGGAATTGAACTAGGGCTGTTAGAATGTTCTAAACACACGCTTTATCACAACCTTTTAAAAAAACTGATGAACAGTACTTTTTTTTTTTTTTGAGACAGGGTCTCCCTATGTAGTTCAGACTGGCCTTGTACTCACTGTGTAGCCCTGGCTGGCCTTGAACTCTCAGCAGTCCTCCTACCTCAGCTTCCTGAGTGCTGAGATTAGAGGAATGCACCACTACAACAGACTAAATACTGCTTTTTGAAGCAGAATTAATTTCAGGATAATTAGTGATACTTTCCTCTTAAATGTCACATTTTAAATATTTTTTGTTTGTTTGCTTTATTTTTTACTGAAACAAAATACATTGCTGAGTTATTATCATTAAATTTTATTTCCAGTTTGTAAGTATATATAATTTTGTACAATAAAATCTTGACTTCCTTACTCAACTTCTGTTGTTCAGGATTTCAAATACATAATATATCCTGTTGCCATTTCATAAGTGTTTTGGTCTTGGGATTTTTTATTGTGTTTCTTTTTCTTTAGCACTTTGCGCCAGAGAGCAGATCCTGTTTATAGTCCTCCTCTTCAAGTTTCAGGACTTTGCTGGAGATTAAAAGTTTACCCGGTAATTTTTTTATATTTCTAATAAACTTTGAATCCAAAATCTTTCTCAGGGTTCTGCAGTGTACTAGTTCACCTTTTTTAGTGCAGTATGGAAATTAAAGTAATGATTTTGTTTCTTCATGGGCTGTTTTACTAAATATGGAAACACTGGGCTATATATGGACAGTATAAACTGATATTATTGAATTTTCTTTATGGTTTGTGGAAATATACTTACCATTAGAAAAAAAAATGTTTAAAATTCTTTTTTTTAAGTCATTTAAAAAAATACAGAAAACCTGAAAAAGAAAAAACAACACATATATGCTGACTGTATACTCATGTACATTTTAGTATGCCACTTTGATTTATGTATTTCTTGAATTGGCAGCTGAATCTGTTGTGTGGTAGGAATATAAGCAGTAGAACATTCTTTTTTATCTGTTCTTGTTTCTCTGGAGGGCTTTCATTGTCTGTAGGGATAGCACTTTTATTCTTTAATCTTTTATTTTGGTAATACATAATGTAAAATTTATCATTAGTAGCATCAGTATATTTACCTTATATGATCTTCAAAACTTCATCTTGCAGGATAAAAACTCTGACCATTAAGTACCTTTCTACTTTCTCCTCTCCAAACCCCTGGTAACCCTTATCGTGCATTATTTCTGTGAATTTGATTACTCTATGTATCTCTTACAAATAGTATCATAAAGTGTTTGCCTTTATATGACTGGCTTACTTCACTTAGCTTAGAGTTAGTTCATCCTCAAGGTTCATCTGTTTCTTGTTATAACGTATTTATAGAATTTCCTCCCCTTTGTAAGGCTGAATAATACCTATTGTGTGTGTGTGTGTGTGTGTGTGTGTGTGTGTGTATAAAACACATTTTGTTCATTCATCTGTAAACACATTTGCGTTGCTTTCACCTATGGGATAGTATAAACATGAATGTACACATGTCTTTTCAAGATACTGCTTTCAGTTCTTTTCAAATAATACCCACAAGTAATTTCTGGATCATACGTTAAAGTAGCTGTGCTATTTTGCCTTACCACTATTATTGCATGAGGGTTTAAGTCTCTTTACATTCTTTGCAATATTTGTTTTCTGCTTTTGGATAGGAAGCATTTTAATAAGTTTTGAGTTTTATTGTGATTTTAATTTCCATTTCCTATTAATTAGTGATATTGAGCATCTTTTTATGCTTAACGGCTATTTATATATTATTTTGTTCATATCCCTAGTTCTTTTTTTTGCATTACCAGGGATTGAACTCAGGACTTTGCACTTGCGAGGCAGGCGGCAATGCCACTGAACTAAATCCCTGGCCCTTTATCCCTAGGTCTTTATATATTCTAGATATTAACTCCTTGAAAATTAATGTTATTAGCGGCTGCAGATGTTGGCCAGTAATAGAACACTTACCTAATGTGTGCAAGACTTTTGAGTTCAGTCTATAGGACGCCTCCCCCCATTTTTTGGTACACTCATTTCTACTGAAATTGAGTAGTTATTTGTATTTTTAATTGATTTTTATTTGTTAATGACTGGTTTGTAAAGAGTTCTATGTATTTTAAAGCTCTTAACTTTTTTCATAGTTAATAATTGTCTTAATTTATATGCCTTGATCTGTTTCTTTTCCTAATGCACAAAAATGTAAAATTGCTAGTCAAATCTGTTGGTCTTTTTTATTTTATTTTTTTAAGGTTAAAAGTACTTTCCAAGTGGGAAGGGTGGGGGAAAGGTAATAAGGGAGAGGAAAAAAATATGAGAAACTGAAAAAATGGAAATAAAGTGTTTGTAAATGGGGAAGGGAGGAGGGGGTGAAGGGAGGGCAGGGACAAGGGGAAAAATGAGAATCAAGACCTATTATGTAAAGGTACAGAATCCCAATGATGAATGTAACTGTATTTGTATACCTAGATTGTACCAATAACCTCAATAAAAAGGAAAAAAAAAAAAGTACTTTCCAAACCAGATATTAGATACTAATCTTCATTTTGTTTATTATTTTTATTTTTGTATGTGGCTTTTTTTTCCACATTTATATTGATCGAGTTTGTCTTTGCATAACCTTATTTTAGGATGGAAATGGAGTTGTGCGTGGTTACTACTTATCTGTGTTTCTGGAACTCTCAGCTGGCTTGCCTGAAACTTCCAAGTAAGAGGTGTAATTAACATTCCTAATGTGCATTTACATATATCCCCTAGCAGTTTTTGTCATTTAATTTTGTTAATTGCTGTATTGTATTTTAGTTAAGATGTACAGTAAAATGGGATCCTTGACATAGTATGATAGCATAATATGGTAGTTCTGAGAACTGTTTTCTTTTAGGACTTCAGTTACTCAGGAGGCTGAGGCAGGAATATCCTGAATTTAAGCCCAGCCTGGGCAATTTAGTAAGACCTTGTCTCAGAATTTCAAAAAGTAGAAGGGATATAACTCATTGTGCAGATGCTTGGTTCAGTCTCCAGTACACACCTCCCCCACCCAAGTTGAAGAACATTGGAATTTGTTAATTTGTTAATATTATCTGAATACTTTCATGGGATTATTCTATTCTGATAGTTAATTCACTTAACATTTCATTAAATCTAGAGATGGGTTCTGAATACTTTTTCATAAATACTGAAATGTTAGGGAATTTAGGGTTTAGCAGTGGGGTAGGTTAACTGGTGAACTATGGAAGAAAAACTTAAATCATTGTATAATAGTCTAGTCAATTTTGGGTTTTTTGAGACAGGGTCTCATTATGAAATTGAGACTGACCCGGAACTCACTGTGTAGCCCAGGCTGGTCTTGAACTCACAGCAGTACTCCTGCCTCACCCTCCTTAGAGCGGGGATTATAGGCATATGTCACCACGCCCGGCCAGTCTAGTCAATTTTATTTATTTATTTAATTATTTTTCCAGTCTAGTCAATTTTAATAGCAGTTGAGTCTGCATAAGTGCTTGTATAATTTCATTAACTTAAATATCTTTTTAGAGGTTTTTATTAATATACACACGTATAGTATTTCAGGGGAAATTTTCACATGAAGATGGACTTTTAATAATATTTGTGTAGTCAGTTTTATATTTTGAGTACAAAGTCTTTATCAGATATATGATTTGCCTTACTAACCTATAACCTATACTAACCTATTTAGTAGGTTGTCATTTTACTTCTAGGTTATATACCCTGTCTTCTTTAGGGTATCTTGTAGGCCTGAAGGAAATCACAATATATTGGCTTTTCCTGTGTACTTATTTTCTGTTAGATTTTTGGTTTGTAGTACTGTGGTAGGAATTGAACCTGGAGCTTTTACACTGACCCTACTTCCCCAGCCCAGTTTTAAATTTTGAGACAGGGTCTTACTAAGTTATCATACCATGCTTTATTTGAAAATTGTATAGCCCTGGGTTTCTGAAGCACAATAAGTTGCTTTATTTTAACTTGTGTCAAAAAACATTTTGAAATTCATATTTTTTAATTGCATGGTGATTAACATCTTATAATAGGAATAACATATTTGAGGAAATGCAAGTAATATATGGGAAAATGCACAGCATTAGTAAAGTCAAAGCAACTTTGAAGTACTTATTCATACAAAATTTATTTATTATTTGATGTGCTGTTTTATTTCTGATACACTGGTAAACTTTTTTTCGGAGGGGATATTGGAGATCAAACCCAGGGCCTTGTATATGCTAAGACAGTGCTCTACCACTAAACTATATCCTTGTCTCTTTTATTTTTTATTTTGAAGGAGGCTTTCACTAAGTGGCCCATGTTGGCTTCAACTTTGTTATCTTCCTGTCTCAGCCTCCTGGGAAGCTGAGATTTTAGGTGTGCACATTGTTAAACCATTTTATGAAAAAAATAGAACCTACTGCCAGTTACGTTTAGTTAGCAACATTCAAAGATTGTTGCTTTTAGTCATGCATGGTGGCACATCCCTGTAATCACAAGTTCAAGCCTAGCCTTGACCAGATAAAATATAAAAAGGACTAGGGATGTAGCTTGGTATTAGAGCACTTGCTTGGCATGCACAGAGCTCTGGGTTCAGTCCCCAGGCCTGCCAAAAAAACCAAACAAACAAACAAAAAAAAAACCCCCAAAATTACTAAACTGCTTTTTTGTAACTGATACCATTCTTTCTGAAAGAAATTTAACTGTATACTGTATATCGATAGTTTCTTAAGTATTTGTTAACCTTAATGTTCTGATGACTTTTATTTACTCTGTATCGATATTGTTTTTAAATTTAAGATATGAATATCGTGTAGAGATGGTTCATCAGTCCTGCAATGATCCTACCAAAAATATCATTCGAGAATTTGCATCTGACTTTGAAGTTGGTGAATGCTGGGGTTATAACAGATTTTTCCGGCTAGACTTACTTGCAAATGAAGGCTATTTGAATCGACAAAATGATACAGTAATTTTAAGGTAATAGGAAATGCTTGATTTTATAACTTTTATCATGGGAGAATAATATCATCAAAACTTTATTTCCAGAATATATTAATTTGAGATGAATATTGAAATTCATAGTAACCATAACCTTACCAGTTTCTTAACTATTTAATTTCATGAGTCCCATGCAGTCAAGTGGTTAAAAAATACTTGTTCAAGATCTAGTTACTGATTCCATTTTTAAAAAAACTGTTAGAGGTTGACCATCTAATCCAAAGGATTCTCCAAAATATTCTGAAAGTCCTCAACACATGGGCCTTTCAGGGACATTTAAGATCTGAACTATAGCAGTGGCTAACATAAAAAGGTCGGACTAGAAGTGTTGGGGGTAGGGGTAACAGAGATGGAAGCTTCAAAATTATATACTCTTTATCTTCTTTTTTTCTTTTTTTGGTACCAGGGATCAAACTCAGGACTTTGTGCTTGCAAGGCAGTCGTGATGCTACTGAGCTAAATTCCCAGCCTACATACTCTTTTCTTATGGCTTTCTCTTTTCTTCTGTAAATGGAGTCATGTTTAACAAGATAGAGGTTTATTTGCTTTAATAAATACTAGCTTTTTAAAAATACAATATAGGGCCTAGGATTTAGCTCAGTGGCGCAGACCCTGCCTTACAAGGGTCTTTCACCCCCATTGGGGGAAGGGGAAGCAACTCTAGGTACATTAAGACCTTACTTCATTAATATAATTTAATATAGATGCTGATTTATTTTCTTAACCATAGCTGGCTTATGCTATATTGTAATGTGGGGAATTTTTATTATAAGATATCTTGAAGGGCAAGGATATCATTTATTTAGAGCATGAAACGCTTTAGGTTAACTGTAAAACAATCCTGAGTTTTGACTCGGTGAGTTTTCCTGAGGGATAGAAAATAGGGAATGGAATAGAGATAGAGTAGCAAAATAAAAAAGACAGCACTTAAAATAAACTTTGCATTATTTTTCTAGGGACTAACAAAGGGATAGGAAAATGTAATACTCCTATTTCTGCATAGTTTAGTCCTCTTCTTCCCAGCTCATGATCATCATTGTATCTGAACTGCATTATTATAATCAATATGCACAGGCTGGGGGTTTAGCTCAGTGGTGCTGCCACCTGCCTTGCAAGTGCCAGGACCCAAGATCTGTCCCCAGTACCAAAAAAAACATAATATATGTTAATCGGTTAGCTTGGAAGCTTAATCCTCTTATAGAAGTTATTTCCAGAAAAGTATAGTTTATGTTTAGACAACTAACTTGTCGGAGACTTAAGTTATTATGAATTTTAGAGTATATGAAGCTCTGAGTTCATTTCAATTTTTACTGTATAAATAAACTAAACTAAGGTAATATTGTAGAATTTATACTTGTATACTCAGGGCCAGATTTATAATGTTTTATTATTGGATTGTTTTTCATGTGGATCTATTTTTTTAAGGTTTCAGGTACGTTCACCTACTTTTTTTCAAAAATGCCGGGACCAGCATTGGTATATCACACAGTTGGAAGCTGCACAGACTAGTTATATCCAACAAATAAACAATCTTAAAGAGGTAAGGAAATAATACTGTTTCTGTTTACCTTTTCCCTTGCTACCTTTGGTTTTAGATTTTTTTATATTCATTCCTATTTGTAATTTATAGAAAAAAATCCAGTTAAGCTGTTTTTGTTATATACTCTCCAGTTTGATAGCCTTTTGCTGTACTTGGCTATGTCACTTTAACTTAATTATAAATAAAGATACTGTTTCTTAGGTGCCTGTACACAAATTAGTTCTTATATTGAGCATTGCCAATACAGAACATTTTCATCATTTCATAAAGTTGTGTTACACAGTGCTGCTCTAGTTTGAGGTAAACTCTGTTTTTTTCTCAGTGACTAAATTAATTCTATTCTACAAGCTGTCCAGGATTTAAAGATTTCAAAACTATGGAATACTTGAAATTTCTCCATCTTGAACTCAGTTTTGTTGATGGACCATTAGAGAAGATCCATTAGGAAATTTTTATTTTACAATAGTGAACCAAAATACATGAAGAACTTTTGTTTTTCACCAGTGGAACTTGGGATGAGATAGAAGTCTGGATGATGAAAGTGGATATTTAGAGATTTTTATGCTATGTTTACTATTTCAAACTTCTTAACACTTGGGTGGCTAAGGCTGGAGGATCACCTTCAGTCTGAGGCCAGCCTGAACTACATAATGAGACCCTGTCTCAAACAAACAAACAAAAACTGCTGAAGCTGTGGGTCAGTGATAGAGCAGTTGCCTAGTGTTCATAAGACCCTGGCTTTGATGCTCAGCTCTGCAAAAAACCAAAAGGTGCCTGTATTATTTTACTAATTGTATATGTTGCTTGTGCTAGATAGGCAAGGATAAGACTGAAGAGGCAAATTTATCCTTTTTTTTTTGGTACCAAGGATCGAACTCAGGTCCTTGCTCTTGTGAGGCAATTTCTCCAGAACCACTGAGCTAAATCCCCGGCCCAAGGCAAATTTATCTTTGTCATGGAATTTTTTTTATAAACAAAAGGCAGGAAAAAACCAATACAAAACAGCAGGAGAGAGTAAGAGAGTTTTAAGAAATAGTTTTAGGAAAACCTTTTTTTTTTTCCTCACTGTTCCAGTGAGACACTTTTTATGACTTAATTTTTCTGTTTTTATTTTAAAAGAGACTTACCATTGAGCTGTCTCGAACTCAGAAATCAAGAGATTTGTCACCACCAGATAATCATCTTAGCCCCCAAACTGATGACTCCCCTGAGATACGAGCTAAGAAGTCTGGGTCATGCTCTGACATGCTTCTTGAAAGTGCTCCTACTACAGCTTCTATAAGAGAGACCAAAGAAGATGAAGAAGATGAAGAGAAGATTCAGAATGAAGATTATCATGTAATAATTGGGTCCCTTTTAGATTGATAACAGAAATGATAGAATGGTAGTATCATGATTTCCAAAATGCAGGGGAAACAGTATTGTCCACTGAGTTTCATTATTGATGGTCTTCTATAAAGTGAGTCATAAATTGTTGAGTCAAAGGATTTTAAAGTTCTAAAATTTAGTTTATTACAGAAAACTATGCAATCTGGGCTGGGGATTTAGCTCAGTGGCACCATGCCTGCCTGGCCATTGTGAGTTTGATTCCCTGTACCAAAAAAAAACAAAACAAAAAAAAACTGTGCAGTCTGTGAAGCAAATTGTGATGTACATTCTAAAAACTAAACTATGTAATTATGGATTTTAAAAAGTGTTATATTTTTATTCCCTGAAACAAAGAAATAACCTTATTGCTGCATATGCTGATAGAATGATTTGAGACTTGGGGATTGCCAGGTTCTGTCCTAACTGAATAATCAGGCTTGATGGTACGTGCCTGTGATCCTAGCATTCTGTAAGGCTGAGGCAGGAGGGTCACAAGTTTGAGCCTGGCCTGGGCAACTTACTAATTTAGCAAGACCCAGTCTCAAAATGAAAAAAGGGCTGTGAGTGTAGTTCCTGCAAAGATCCTGGGTTCAGTCTACAGGAATGCCCCCCTTTCAAAAAAAGTTTGTAATTTTTAGTTAATACAAGTTTATAGAGACAAGATTGTTTTGTACTTGTTATTTTTGAGATGCAAGACTTGCAGTTATTTAAGGACCTTGAGCAGTATAATGGTTCGGTAAGTCTTGAATGATAGTTTGAAGTAATACCAGAAGCTTACTAGAAAAACCTTACTAGAAGCTGATGTGGAATATGTGAAGCATTTCCAGTTGCACTTGAGGGCCTGCCTGAAGTTGACCACCACATGTTCATAGTAACGTCAGTCAGTGTGCTTGTGTGACTTGCATCATGGCCTAGCTTGGATGATCCAACCAAGTGGAAACAGTTGGAATAGAAATCTTTTTTTGCCTTAATCTAGCATGAGCTTTCAGATGGAGATCTGGATCTGGATCTCGTCGGTGAAGATGAAGTAAATCACCTTGATGGCAGCAGTTCTTCTGCTAGTTCCACAGCTACAAGTAACACAGAAGAAAATGACATCGATGAAGAAACTATGTGAGTATCCCACATTAACTACCACTTTAAAGTTTCTAAGTGGTAATTATTAGAAGCATCTTAACCAAGGCTTAAAAGTGGGAATAGTCAGCAGTTTTTCTACATATCTTATATAATGAAATTTGATGGAAAGACTGAATCAGGAGACAGCCATTTTCCTCCCTCCCGTCTCTAAGTTCTAAATCAAGAAAGGTTTTTGTTTGTTTGTTTTTTGGAGGTATTTTCTCCTGGATTGAATTCAAGGCCTTTGCTTTTTTTTTGCGGAGGGGTGGTACCTAGGATTGAACTCAGGACCTTGGGCTTGTGAGGAAGTTATGGTGTCACTAAGCTAAATCCTCGGTCCCTCAAGGCCTTCACTTTTATATTTTAAGACAGAGTGTTGCTAACTTGCCTAGATTGGCTGAAACCTACAGTTCGCCTACCTCAGCCTTCCAAAGGCTAGGGTTATAGGGCTATGTCACCAGGCCTGGTTCAAATTTTAATTTTGAAGTTATTTCATATTTAAGAATGTTTCAGAAATATTACTTAGAATTTCTATATTCACATGAATGCATCTCCTAAATGTTTATGTTTTGCTTTATTTTGTTTTTCTGTGCCTATTCTAAGACATTGGCGATTAATACATTTGTTGTTGTGAATTTCTTAAAAATCAAGAATGTTTCTAGGGCTGGGGATTTAGCTCAGTGGTTCCGGTGCCTGCCTTGCAAGCACAAGGACCTGAGTTTGATCCCCGGTGCAAAAAAAAATAACCCAAACAAAATAAAGAGAATGTTTCTTACATAACCACAATACAGTTATCAAAATCAGGGAATTAACCTTGATATGGTAGTATAACCTTTTAAAAATTTTGTTAGTAGTGTCCTTTGTCTGGTCCAGGATCCAATCCAGAGTGTCATTTACATTTTGTTTTTAAACCTCTTTAACCTGCTTCAGTCTGGGTTACTGTCTTTCTTTCTTTCCTTCTTTCTTTCTTTCTTTTTCTTTTTCACTGCTACTATTCTTTGGTACCAGGGACTGAACTCAGGACCTTGCGCTTGCAAGGCAGGCGGTGGCACCACTGAGCTAAATCCCTGGCCCTTCACTGCTACTTTTGAAAAATACAGAGTACTTGTTTCATAAAGTCCTTAAGTTGGACTAGTCTATTTCCTTATTAAATTAAGGTTATTCACTTTTGGCAGGAGCACTATAGAAGTGTTGATGTGTCCTTTTTAGTGCATTGTGAACAGGGGTGCATATGTCTGTCCCATTATGGGTGATTATTATTATTCTTATTTTTTGTTGTGATGATGGTACTAGGGATTGAACTTGCTGAGCTGACCAGGCTGGGCTCCAATTTGAGATACTCTTACCACAGTGCTGGGATTACAGGCACACACTACCACCCCTCGATTGCACTTATATCTCAGTTTAACTGTTACATCTCTAGGCTTTATTTCCAGACTGTCCTCAAGGCAATTGAATTTTATGTACAATAAATAAAACTTCCTTCATACACCAAACCTTTCATCAAATTGACTTTTTAATCTTTTTTTCTGTTTATATTCTAACTTCACCTACAGTAATAGTTCAGTAATAATAATTCATAACAGCAAAGATTCATTAATTACTTTTATAGATGAGGAAATGGGCTTACAATCTGTTTGGATAATGTTTAGCACCATCTTTTAAAACTAGAGAATATTCATTTTTTTCCTTTTTGTCTTTCTCTTCTTTGACCCTCCATGGTCTTTCTATAAATAGTACTATTTATGTTTGTTCTGATACTTTTTTCTTTTTATTATGAGATAATTGTAGATTTACACATAGTTTTAAAAATAATGCATAGATTCCAATACACTTTACCCAATTTTCCCTAAATTGTAAAACTATAGTACAGCACCACAGTCAGAATATTGACATTGATATAGTCGAGATAATGAAACATTTTCATCATAGCTAGGTATAGTAGTAGATACCTGTAATCACAATACTTTGGAGGCTAAGACAGGAGGATTGTTGCAAGTTTGAGGCCAGCCTGGGCTACATAGTGAGTTCAAGGCCAGCCTGAACTGCATAGCAAGCAAGATCCTGTCTCAAAAAACAAAACACCACCAATAAAACCTATTTCCACCACCATAAGAATCCTGTTACTGCTTTTTAATAGTTATACCTACTTTCTTGCCATCTTAGCCTTTTTCTTAACCCCTGGAAACCACTCATCTCTTCTTCATCTCTATAATTTTGTCCTTAATAGAATGCTGTGTAAATGGGATCATATAGTAGATAATCTTGAAGCAATGATGGTGAACCTTTTAAAGACTGAGTGCCCAAACTGTGACCCAAAACTTATTTATCATGAAGTGCCAACACTGAAATTAAAACCGAATACTGAGGTTTTAGTTTAGAAAAAACAATTGTTATATGATGCTCAGCTCCTAGGGCAGCTTGGCTCACATGCTGACAGAGAGGGCTCTGCATGCCCCGTGTGGCTGCGTTCCATACATTCACCACTACTACATTAAAGGATTGGCTTTTTTATTCAGTGTAGTTCCCTGGAGATACATCCAGGATATGGGATATGTAAATAGTTCATTCCTTTTATTATTGAGTGGTGTCCTATGTCAGTGGTGATGCACCTGTGGCATACGTGCCTCCATGGACTGTTTTGAAAGCTCTGAAAGGCTCATCATCACTGGTCTATATTGTGAATGTGCCACAGTTTGCTCACCCATTCACTCATTAAAGGATATCTGGGATACATCAAGGTTTGAGCATCATTTCTTTGGTAAAAGTGCAACTGCTGAATTGTATGGCATTTGTATATTTAGTTTTTGAAGAAAATGTCAGGAGTTTTCTAGAATAGCTATAGTATTTTCCACTCCCACCAGCAGTTTATGAATAATTGAATTTTTCTGGTTCCTCACCTGCATTTAGTGCTGTTGCTGTTTTTTATTTTAGCTATATTGATAGGTGTAAAGGGATCCTTCATTTGGTTAAATTTGTATCCCCCTAATAACTAATAATAGTAAGCATTTTATTTACTTAATTTACCATCAGTCTTTATCAGTGAAATTTTGTGTGTTTTTGCCCATTTTTAAGTTGCATTCTTTGTGGCTTTTCACCATTGAGGATTTTTTTCCTCTCCATAGTTTGTTTTTTCTTTTCCTTTCTGTTTTGGGCAGTACTGGGGATTGAAGGGCAGGGCCTTCCCATTGAGCTACATACACAGATCCTTTTTTAAGTGCGCTTCGGTGGTGCTAAGTACATTCACACTAGTATTATCATTTTAGTAGAACTTTAAAAAATCTTCACAGGCTAAAATCCATATTTAATAAACACTAACTCTCCTTAGACCCTGGCTAGACTTTTTTTATTAGCAAAATGTAGCTGGGGTTAAAATGAGAAATGCCTGTTTTTCCCCCTCCCTGGAGTATAACTTCTCTTGGGAGCTTCAGGAAGTGGGAAAGTCTAGAATAGAATTGTGGGGGGGATGAATTAGGAAAGGACAGGAGTGATTTGGTTAAGGTACCACAGATGTACATTCTTCTTACCAAATTTTAATACTTTTTAAAAATATAGATGTTTTTCCATTAGCTCTATGCCCTTTGGACCATTTCCAGGGTCTTTAAATGGTTTTTGTTTTTGTTTTTTTGTACTGCTGGGGTTTGAACCAAGGACCTCATGCATGGAAGGAAGCACTTTCTACTGAGCCATATTCCCAGCCCTCTTTTCATTTTGAGAACAGGTCTTACTGATTGGCCCAGGCTAGAGTCCCACTTATCTCAACCCCCCAGGGTTCTGGGCTTATAGTCACACCCCACCACCCAGCTTCTAAATGGTTTTTTTAAAATGTATTTTATCAGTTTCAGTTGAGAAGAGTTCTAAAGGTCTCTGCAACACTGTCAAGCTGGAAGCTGATCTTAAGATTTCTTTAAATATATAAAATTATCATTGAGGGCTGGGGATTTAGCTCAGTGGCGCTGTGCCTAACCTCACAAGTACAAGGTCCTGAATTTGAGCCCCAATACCAAAAATAAATAAATAGAACTAGCATTGATTTGTACTCTTCAGAGCAGTATTTCTTAAAGTACTAGTGAGTGGTATTTGTTTTTGTTTTAGTATAGAATACTTTGTGAGTCCTAATGGGAATCAGCATCATTTTTTTCTGAAGTTATTTTAATCATATATAGTAATCTTTCCTTTTTAAAAAAACATTAAAATACCATATTTTAAGCCTAATTTTACTATTATTAACAATTCTTTAAACCTGTAATATCTTCTGCTTACAATTTCTCTGATTTTTAAATGTTGCTAACATACTTTCATAGTTTTTTTGGTTCTTTTTTGATTTTTTGAGACAGGGTCTTACTAGTTCAGGCTGGCCTTGAACTCACAGCAGTCCTCTAATTTAGCCTGCCAAGTGCTGGGATTATAGGCGTGCACCAGTACACCCAGCACTTTTACGACTTTAAGACGTTGTTTGAACATTATCACTATTCATACATATAATGCTTACAAAAGACTATTTATAACTATCTTGTCCTCACAGGAGAAAGCTGAGTACTACTATTATGAAATTTGCTTAAGTGGAACAAATAAAAATGTTAATTATAGTTAACACAATGATAATGAATTTTGTTTATTCTTAGGTCTGGAGAAAATGATGTAGAATATAACAACATGGAATTGGAAGAAGGAGAACTCATGGAAGATGCAGCTGCTTCAGGACCTCCAGGTATGGAGGCCAAAGCCCCACAAGCCATTTTGTCTTGTCTCTTTGCTCCTTTTGGACTGTATCATATTTTGGTAGGTGATGACCACTGTTCTATTTGGTTCATGGTATTAAAAGTGATATACATTAGAGTATAGATTTTAGAGTATATTGCTAATATTTAAAATAACATTCATTGCTACCATATGCAAAATGGTCTTATTCATCAGACACTGTGTGAAGCACTTTATGTGCACCTTATCTCATGCATTCTAAGATAAATTTTAATACCTACTTTTTATAGCTATAGAAACTGTAACATAGACAAACAAATCAACTTGCTATGTTTTCATGATGTAGTAAATGAGAGAGTAATTAGATCCTTAGGTTTGTCTCAACCCAAAGCTCATATTGTGTATTGTTTAATTATGTTTGTGAATCTTCGCTACAACAATTAAAAGCTAATTGTTAGTAATACATCAATTGTTGGAGCCCACCTTCTGTTTGTTATACTTAATAACATAGACTAAGTAATGTGAAGAATAAGCCAGGTGTAGTGATGCAGGCCTATAGTCCCAGCACTTGGGAGGCTGAGGCAGAGGAATTGCCGAGAGTTCAAGACCAGCCTGAACTATATAGCAGGACCCCATATAGTTCAAACAAACAAATGACTGAAACAGAATAAAGATTTATTTAGCTCAAATTCTGAAGAATAAGAAGTTCAAAATTAGGCAGTTTCATCTGATGAGGTTGTTCTGATTATTAGAAGTTTGCGAGAGTTCCAAGGCAGTGCAGTATCATGGAGAGAAAGAATGTCCTTAACTTGGTTTATCCTCCTGGTCTTACAAGCCACCTTCCCATTAGATTAGGGCCCTAGTCTTGTAGCCTTATTTATTTTAATTATTTTCCAAATATCCTGTCTCCAAGTACCATGAGTTAAGTTTGTAGGTGCTTAATAGTTCAAATGAGGTTTGAATTTCGATGTGAGTTTTGGTAGGGATACTCAAACCATACCATTCTGCCCCTGGACCACTAAAACTTACGTCCTTTTCAGATATAAAATACATTCATCCCATCACTAACTTAAAAGTCCACGGTCTTTTTTTTTTTCTTTTCTTTTCTTTGTTTTTTTGTCCATGGTCTTATCCAAGACAGGCACACTTCTTCCAGCTAATGAGCCTATAAAAACAAGACAAGTTTTCTATTTCCAACATGCAGTGGTAGGATAGGCATAAGGTAAGCATTCCTGTTCCAAAAGGGAGAGATTGGCCAAAAGAAAACAATAACTGAACCATAGCCAGTTCAAAAGCCAGCAGGGCAAACGTTAATTAAGTCTTAAAGCTTCAAAAGAAACCTGTTATGAGCTGTCCAGGTCTGTTGTGTATAGGTCCATTAGCTCACCACTCTCAAACAAACTACAGGAAGCCATTGTGGGTGAAAGGAAAAAAAAAAGGTTTTACTTACAGCTGTCTCTTAGATAGATGGAGGGGCCTTACATTGCCACAGATCACCATTGCACTATATCCAAGTATAGAAGGGCCTTTTACAGTAAGGAACAGAAGGTCATGGGAATAAGGCAGTGCACAACTCCAGGCTTGCTTTATTTCACCCAGCTATCTTCTGCTCTCTTCCTTTCCTGTGGAATGGAAACTGAACTTTGACTTCTTGGTACTAGCATCTGTATATTCTTTATGTTTCTCTGGGCTGAGGAGTAGATCCCAACACTCTGGAAGATGAGACAGGAGGATTGCCATGAGTTTAAAAAGATCCCAACTTTCCCTTGTTTCCTTGTCTTCTGAGTTGTCAGCAAGATCACATGGAATGCTATGTTTACATTATTTGCCATCTGTTCCTTCAAATCTTTCCAACTGTGCTCCATTGCCTCATTCCAAAACTATTGTATTTTTTGTTTTTTCTTCTAGTACCAGGGATCAAACTCAGGACCTTGGGCTTGCAAAGCAGGTGTGGCGCCACTGAGCTAAATCCCCAGCCCTCCAAAGCTATTGTTATAGCAACAAACCTACTCTTGGTGTTGATTTTCTTAGTCCATTTTTTGTTGACATAACAAAAGGCTTGAGACTGGGTGGTTTGTAAAGAAAGGTTTATTTGGGTCATATTTCTGGTAGTCCCAAGAATATGATGCTGCCATCTGCTCTGCTTTCTGGGGAGGGCCTCATGGCAGATGGCCGGAGTGTGTTTAAGAGTGGAGAGTGGGCACATGTTTGGGATGCCAAAACATCAGATGTAACCTTTGCATTGGGACAACTCATAGTCAAAGTAAGTAATCCAGTCTTGAGAGACCTAACCCAATTTCTCAAGAAAGATATAAGTTCATTCATGAAAGTAGAAGCCCTTTCATCTGACCATCTCTTTAAAATCCCTATACTTTTCAACACTTATGTTTGGAATCAAATTTTAAGATAAGTTTTGGCGAGACTTTCAAACCTAGCATCTATTGTTGCCTTTAATGCGAACACTGGGTATTGTTTTGCATATTTGAATAGCGAAAGGCTTCTTTCTTTAACATTTCTTGTGTTCTAAGCCCTGTCCCCTTTTTGCTCCTTGCTTTATTCCCTGGTGATTTCATCCACACAATTATTTTTATTAGTATCCAAGTGCTGGTTACTCTCCAAGTGCTATCTCAAAGGTTTCTGAGGTTCTGTTCAATTTTCTTCACCCTTTGTTTAAGAAATGCCAAGGGGCAGTATTTACCAAAATTGAAATACACATCCCAATATGTCATAGACATCCCAATACACATGTCTAATGTGCTCCCACATTAGCAGAAATGTGAGCTAATATCTGCCAGTAGGTTTTTGCAGGAATTTTTAGAGTAGTATTGTTCTCTTTTAGTTTTTATTTTTAAGGAAAACAAATTAATTTACAACAAATTTAACGATGTAAAAATATAGATTTATGAAAGTACTTTAGGACTAGACTCTGTAGGGCTTGAGATTTGTCCTGATGAGTACATTGTGTTCTAATGAACTTGAGATGATCTGTGTCAGTTTAGCGGATTCATTTAGCTTTAAATATAGATTTATGAAAGTACTTTAGGACTAGACTCTGTAGGGCTTGAGATTTGTCCTGATGACTACATTGTGTTCTAATGAACTTGAGATGATCTGTATCAGTTTAGCGGGATTCATTTAGCTCGGCACAAGAGGAGAGGAACCTGTCACTGATCCATTTGCTTTTTTACAAGATGTTTTATTTTTCCATGTAAACTTAAAGAATGGTTATTTGCTCATATTTTTAGTGGCTTGATTAATTGATCAATTGGTCACTTGAGACAGGGGCTATCCATGAAGTTCAGGCTGCCCTTGAACTCATTGTGTAGCTCAGGCTGGCCTCAAATGCAAGGTGACGATTCTCCCACCTCTGCCTCTTGAGTGATACAATTACAGGTGAATTACATCCAGTGTATGCTTATCCTAAATAGCCAAAAGCTAGAGGCAACCCAAATTCTTTCCCAATAAAATAGAGAGATAAGTTGAATATATTCATATACTGGGATGAAAATGAATAAACTACTGCTTTGTACAGCATTATACGTGAATCTTATAAGTCTAATATGGAATAAGAAGCAGGATATAAGAGTACATACCATTTCGTTAAATTTGTATAAACTCCAAACAGGAAAACTAATCTATGATGTTTTAAGTTAAGACCAAGGTTACTTTTAGGGAGTAGTAGTGATCGATTTTTAGGAGGCATGGTGGGGATTCTATGATGTCAGTAATCTGTTTCGAACTCTGGTCCTTGGCACTTGGAAAGCAGGCGACGAAACTGCTGAACTATATCCCCAGCCCAGTAATCTGTTTCTTCATCTTGGTGTGATTGCTATGTGAATACTGATTAGGCTGTACACTTATGTATAAGACTTACACATACATATGCATATGCATAATGGTGGTAACACTAATTCCAAGAGGGAAACTGAAATAGATGCTAAGGCCATTGATGCTATGCAGGGATATTATAGTAGAAAGAGAACAGTCATGTAGACAGGGGTAGCCAAAGTGTATAAACCCCCAGAGAAAGGAGTTTTGTTGAGTGGTGAGAGTGATGGCCTAAAAGAGCAGTGAGAACCAGGAGATTGCTAACTGCTCTTTGTATTTTAGATGTGCTTTACATAGGAGATTGAGCAACTTCTAGCTGTCTCATGTGTGTGCTTGCTCTCTCTGTCTCTCTCTCTCTCTCTCTCTCTCTCTCTCTCTCTCTCTCTCTATCTATATATATATATATATTGGTACCAGGGATCAAACTCAGGTCCTTGCAATTGCAAGGCAGGCAGCGGAACCACTGAGCTGAATCCCCGGCCCAACCTCTATTTTTAAAGGAAATCTAGGTGTCAAGGTGTTAGGTAACATAGCCCAGGATACAAGGTTTATTTTACAACCACCCATGGTTTACTGTACATCATAACCACCTAAGTATTTTGAGAATAGATCCTCAATCCCACTCCAGTATTCTCATTTAATATATCTGCAGTAGAACCAGGAATGTAGTTTATTGATTTATTTGTTTTTGGATATAGGGGATCGAACTCAGGACCTTGTGCTTGCGAGGCAGGCAGCACCACTGAGCTAAATCCCCAGTCCAGAAACCTAGTTTTTTAATCGCCAGCTGACTGATGCATAACCTCATTTGGGAACTCCTAATAAAAGAGATAACACTCGGTTTCTGTGTGAAGGAGGGATAATTTTCTGCAGTTTAGTGGGAGTTGCAGTGGACATAGAAGCTGGGAAGAAAAATTGGTAGTGGCGTAAATTGGCAACATTGACATCATTAGGAGAATAAATAAATTGAGGGCAAGAGAATTTGATAATAAGTGAAAAAAATGCAGATTACTAATTGGCCCAAGTTTCTATATAATGGAAGTTTTTCCTGAAATTGTTTTGGGCCGAGTCTCTTAAATACTTTTGTGTTCAGGACCAGATTTACTGACTTACATGCACATGCACATGTACATATACACCCACAATTTTGTGTTTTGTTTTTTTCTTAAATGATATTAGGGATTGAACCCAAGGTGTTTGCACTGAGCTAATGTATCTGTACTCCTTTTTGATACAGAGTCTCACTAAGTTGCCCAGCCTGGGCTCAAACTTTCAGTCCCCTGCCTTAGGGATACCATCAAGCCTGGCTAGACCTAATTATCTTTGTATTATCTATTCTACTTCACATTTTCTTGCACATGTATCACCTTTTGGGAGGAGGTGTGCTCCTAGTGTTTAAACACAGCCTCATCCATGGTAAGCAAACACTTAACATTGATGCATGTAGTATTTTTTTTAACATTGTGTTTGTTTGGAAAATATTTGAATAGCTTTATTGAAGGAGGTCAGCAACATTTTCATACCTCATTGCTAGCCATTGTAATAGTCACTAGAGAAAAGTCAGATGCTTTCCTTGGCTTTAGGAGCTTAGTCCTGTATAGATATAATGTGCACCAATAATTAACAAGTTCAGTCAAAAAACCTCAACTTGTACTCAAGTATTTAATCAAGCCAAAAAAAAAAATTCTAGAAAACTGTCATGGCCTGAACATTTTGCCGTCCAAAGTCTTGGAGGGAATTCTTACTTTGGCGTCTTGTTCTTTGGAATCTGTTACACCATGGGAATTTATTTTCTTTCATTTAATACTTGTCAGTCATAGGACATGGTCTCCTTTTTCTTGCCCTTACCTTTCATCTCCTCAGTTGTATACATTGTACACATTTGTTGTCTTTCTGTTTTTAGGGCTCCAGATGAGGTTGATCATTGCTCTTGACTTCTGGGTATTAATAAGACCACTGCTTAATCACTATGCCATGGTATATCTCTTTGTGCTCATGAACTCCCAAGAGATAGATGTGTAGACAAGTGTTCAAACATAAGCATTCAAGCATTAACCAGGTCTTTTATGCATACTTAAATTTCTACAAATACACATTTTTTGCATCTTAATTTCTTTGCAGGTAGTAGCCATGGGTATGTGGGTGCCAGCAGCCGAATGTCAAGAAGAGCACATTTATGCTCTGCTGCTACCAGTAGTTTATTAGACATTGATCCTTTAATCTTAATACATTTGTTGGACCTTAAGGACCAGAGCAGTATGGAAAATCTGTGGGGCTTACAGCCTCGCCCACCTGCCTCATTTTTGCAGCCCACAGGTAAAATACTTTCTTTCTGTTGTTCTGTGAAAGAACTGTTGAATTTTTATTCATATATTTCATCTAAGTGGAAACAGTGTATTTTTGTAGCAAATAGGTTTTTCATTGTATACCACAAGAATGACATACCAACCAAATTACTTTTTTTACTATTGTCCAAAGATGTTATAGGAGATTTTTTTTTGTACCGGGGATTGAACTCGTGTCCTTGCACTTGCAAGGCAGGCCACCGAACCGCTGAGCTAAATTCCTGGCCCTAGGAGATTTTTAATGAGTTACTATTTATATTGTACCGAATTGATAATTTAATCTAGTGGTAACAACCCATGCCACAGAAGGCTGTTTATCATTGAAAGCTCTAAACGATTTGCCATCACTGGTTCAATCCATATGTAAGTACAGTCAGGTGTGGTGGCACACGCCTGTAATCCCAGAACTCTGGAGGCTGAGGCAGGAGGATTATTGTGAGTTAGAGACCAGCCTGGGCTACATAGTGAGTTCCAGGTCAGTCTCAACTACATAGTGAGACCTTGTCTCAAAAAAACCAAGCATATGCAAATACAATTGTCCTCTTTGTCAATGAGCTTAACAGTTTTCTAACCTGACTTCCAAGAAGAACTGTGTCTAAATTAAACATAGAAAAGCATCACTTATTTATGCATTCATTGGTGTTCATTAAAAATGTATGCCAGTTGGCAGCAGTGTTTAATATGCAAAAGAGAAATTATAGCCAGGTATGGTGATGCATATCTGTAAGCACTCAGGAGACTGAGGGAAGAGGATCACTATGACTTCAAGTGGGGTACGTTTGCAGTGGAGGCAGATGCTAAAGCCCCTGACCAATAAAGCAGAATTGAATAATGTAGAGCCCCATGTGCCATGTCGGTTCTTCCTAAATGCTATAGGATGCCATGGGATGATTCTAAACAGAAAGTAACATCTGGTTTGGGTTTTAGAAAACTGCTCTGGCAGCAGCCAGGTGCAGTGTGTTTACCTGTAATTCCAGCTGCTTGCGCTGAGGCAGCAGGGTTGCAAGTTCGAGGCCAGCCTGGGCAATTTAGTGAGAGCCTGTCTCAAAATACAAATTAAAAAGGGCTGAGAATGTAGGTCAGCGATAAAGCATTTGCCTAACATGCACAAGGGCCTGGATTTAATTCCCAGTACCACAAAACTGGAAAAAAAGAAACCCCACTCTGACATCTTGGTGGACAGTGGATTATATAGGAACAGTGCAGGGTTCTTTCACAAACACTGACTCTTCTGAGCTTACAGTAACACTTTTATTGTATATTAGCAACAAGGTTAAGTCTTTAAACTTTTGGAATTAAGTATATAATTTAGAGTTGAGAGATTATGATGTGACTGAAACTAATTTTGAAGGTGCAAATAAAAGTTAGGACACTGGAGTTTGTCTTGATTTTCTTAATGGAATTTAATGCTTGCTTTTTAAAAATACCACCTAAAATATCATAGCTTGTTTTACACATCAATTTGTATATACTCAGATCAAATCAATTTGTATATGCTCAAAATGATGTCGAGTGTAGAAATTTATATTAACATGACTTGTCACATCTCTTTGAAGCATCATATTGTCGAAAAGATAAAGATCAAAGGAAGCAGCAGGCAATGTGGCGAGTGCCCTCTGATTTAAAGATGCTGAAAAGACTCAAAACTCATATGGCTGAAGTTCAGTGTATGACAACTGATGTAAAGAATACACTTTCAGAAATAAAAAGTAATAATACTGCTTCTGGAGACGTGCAGACAGCCCTTTTTTCTGCTGACCAGACAGCTCTGGCTGCGTGTGGAACTGAAAACTCTGGCAGATTACAAGATTTGGGAATGGAGCTCCTGGCAAAGTCATCAGTTGCCAGTTGTTATATAAGAAACTGTAAGTAAAAAAGTTCCTATGCCGGGGATTTACCTCAGTAGTTCTGCCACCTGCCTCTCAAGCTCAAGGTCCCAAGTTCAATCCCTAGTACCCCCAAAAAAGTTCCTATTAGTGTCATTTCTCTACATACTAGTTGAAAAACTAAAAGATTGGTTATTTTGAAGATAATATCTAAGCATTTTCTCTTCCAATGAATTAAGACAAACCGATACATTCAGGCTTTTCTCCTACCCAAAATTGATTTCTCTGTACTTTATTTTATATAACAGAGCTAACACCATTTTTTGTGTGGCCCTCGTATTGAAGCTTGAACCTAGTGCCTTTGCACTGAGCTATATTCCTAGCCCTTTTTAACTTTTTCATTTTGAGAGAGGGCCTTGCTTCAGTTGCCCAAGCTGATCTCAAACTGAATCCTCCTGCCTCAGTATCCCAGAGTACCAGGATTATAGGTGTGCACCACCAAAAATGACTTCCTTTTTTTCCATTAAGTTTATTGGTACATTTGTATACTGTACAGTTACATTCATCACTAGGATCTTGTACCTTTACATGATGTATCTGGTTGTTATAAAAAATGAACTACTTAAGTTAAAAACTTTCAATATCACATGATACTATCAGAGAAGTAAAAGGCAATCATGCATTGGGAAAAAATACTTGCAGTCAAGCTACCTATGCTTTTGGTGTCATATTCAGAGAAGCATTGCCAAATCCCGTGTCATGTATTCCTGTCTAGGAATGTACTTAATTCAAATCAATCTGTTTGAATATATATATATATTTCTTGAAAGTTTCAATTTTCTTCATAGGTATATGTATGTCTCTCTTTTTTTTTTTTTGGTCCCGGGGATCAAACTCGGGTGCTTGTGCTTACAGGGCAGACAGCAGAACCACTAAGCTAAATCCCCGGCCCCATATGTCTTGTTAAATTTACTACTGGATATCACTTGGACTTTTGGCTAAGCTGAAGTGGGTTATAAACCTAGATATGTTACAAACCTAGGTTGCTATTGTGATTGGAATCTTCCCCCTACCCGGATATTTTCTGATTAGTTGCTACTGGCATATAGTAAAGGTTTTGGGGTTTTTTTGTGTGTAGTACTGGGGATTGAATTCAGGTCTTGTACTTGAGAGGCAGGCAGCGGAACCACTGAGCTAAATCCCCGGCTAAAGGTATTGGTTTTAATGTTTATTGTATGTTAGCCTACTTATTGATTTTTTTATCATTAAAACTTTTATTATACTGTTCTTAACCCATTTGAGTTTCAATTCTGTGCTATTTTCACAAAATCAAAAACTTTTGTCCTTTTCTGTGCTGTAAATTTATTTTAACCTATTACCTTCTCTTTTTTATTAAAATTAATCAAGGCTTTAGGTTGTTGTTGTTGTTGTTGTTGTTGTTGTTGTTGTTGTACCAGGGATTGAATTTAGGACCTTGCACTTGCAAGGCAGGTGCAGTGCCACTGAGCTAAATCCCCAGCCCAAGCCTTTAATTTGATGAAGCTCATTCAATAAAGCCAACTCTAGTGGCTCTCATTTCTGTTGTTTTTATTAGTCATCTCATATTCCTGCTTCAATTTAAGTTAGTTTCTGTAACTGGTTTTCCAAGAAAATTATTTTATTAGGGCTTTACGTTTATCAACATAAGGTCACTTTATTCTCTCCAAAAAATTTTTTTTTTCAGCTGAGCACAGTGGCTCACACCTATAGTTCCAGGTACTTGGGAAGCTGAGGCAGGAGAATTGCTTTACCCAGGAGTTCAAGGCTAGCCTGGCAGTATACCACAACTCACAAAAACAATGGGAAATTTATTATGTATCGCATATCTCAAAAAATTTGAGTAATGAGACTATGGCAGGATTATCATGAGTTAGAGGCTAGCCTGTATTACAGAGCAAAACTGTCTCCAAAAAAAAAAAAGCTTGAATAAAATGAACTTGCAACAGGAAGTGGAAAATGTTTGTAGACCTGCCTGTTCCTGGCACTTACTGAGAAAGGAGTCTTAACTAAGAGTCCTTAGAGATTGGTATCTTGTGGATCTGGGGATGTAGCTCAGTGGTGCCACGCCTACCTGGCAAACGCAAGATCCTGAGTTGGGGAGCAGGGGGTTGGGTTGGGTTGATATCTTGCTGACACAACTTTAGATATTTCAGTAACTTGCCAAGAAGCACCACTGAGCTACATCCCTGGCCCTCTTGCTTCAGATTTTATAAGGTGTCACATGAAAAACCAAAAACCAAGTTTAGGGGCTCGGGATGTGGCTCAGTGGCACTGAGCCTGCCTGGCAAGTACAAGGTCATGAGTTTGATCCCCCCAATATGGAAAAAAAACCCTGAAGCAAGTAAGAGTAACTTGGGTACTCTGTTTTGAACTTTTGAAGTTCACCAATATTGTGAAACTTTGGAGCTTCAAGATTTTCAACAGTGCTAGCAGTTGATTTCCTACCTGTTTTGCCCTCTTCAACAAGAGCCACAGTTCCTTCACATAGATAACCTCAACCTGAGAAATAGTCTTTGAGCCCATTTCACAAACATCAACAGGATCATTATCTCCATAGCAAATTGTGCTTTTTGATGGGGATTTTCTAAAATCTAAGGGTGCATCATAATTCCTTTATAACCCTTGAGAGGATATTCATTTACCACATGACATAGCTTGCTATCCTTTACATCTTGCTTAATGAGATTTGCCAGCTGTTTTTATGGCAGTTTCCATTTTAGCATTTTGTTCTCACCAGTGTACTTCTGCAATCATAGTAAACAAACTCATATTCAGCATTTTGTACCTATTTTTTTGGTACCGGGGATCGAACTTGGGTCCTTGCGCTTGCAAGGCAGGCGGCGGAACATCTGAGCTAAATCTCAGGCCCTGCATTTTGTACTTTAAAGGAGCAGTATATGAATGGAATCCAGGGCCTTGCATTGAGCTATATCCCCAACCTTTAAAAGAATATTTTAAAAAGCCAGGCATGGTGGTGTACAGCTGTAATCCCAGCAGTTGGGAAGCTGAGGCAGGAGGATTGACTTGTACTACATAGTTTAAGGCCAGACTGAACTATGTAACAAGACATTGTCTCAAGAAATAAGAACACTTTTTTTTTTTTTGTAAAGATTTTTGAGACACGGTCTCTTCCAGTTGCCCAGGTACTCTTGAACTTGCAGTCCTGCTGCTTAAGCCTCCTGAGTAACTGGTGACAGGCTTGTGCTACTGTGCCCAGCAGCAGCATCTTCTTTCTTTTAGGAATGCTGTTTTCCAGCTGCTTGATCTTGGACAAGTCAGCAAAATGCCTTCGGCTTTAGTTGGGTTTAGAGTCCACTTGGGGATATAAGGGGGACATGTAGTGAGTAGATGCACTTTTGATGAAGAGGCAAAATCCTGCAAGTGGGGCTGGCCACACTCCTCCATGTCATACAGGATCATGGCATGTACTTGCTACTGCCCCCATCCTGGCACATGGGAAGCCTATGTGCCCATTTTCTTAAATTTTTAGAACTTTCTCAAAATATAAGGTGGTAACTTCTCTTTCACTATTTTATCTAGATTCCTGGTAACTATTAATGAACTTTGTCTCATTACATGGATTTACATTTTGTGGACTTTTCACATAAAATCATCCAGTATGAATTTTTTTTTTAATGCTAGGCTTCTTTCACTTAACACACTTATCAAGGTTCATGCATGTTCACTTGTTTTTATGGCTGAATGATACTTTATTGTTTGTGGAACATATCCATTCATCAGTTGATAGATATGTTATTTCATTTATGTTACTTTTTTCTTTTGCTAGTACTGTTGCTGTGAATATTCATGTACAAGTTTTTGTATGGATATATATTTTTGGGTTTTTTTTCAATCTTTTTTTTCTTTTTATTGAGTTTATTGGTACATTTTAGGTATACAGTACAGTGATATATATTTTTGTTTATCTTGAATATATACTTACAAGTGGGATTGTTGGGTCATATGGGAACTATGTGTAACTTTTTGAGAAATTGCCACCTGTGCCAGACTATTTTCCAAAATAGCTGTAGCATTTTATATTCTCAGCAGCAGTGTATAAGGGTTCCATTTCCCACATATCTTTGGCGTTTGTTATTGTCCCTCAGTTTTTCCTGCCCTTTGAATTGTCTGGACATCCTTGCCAAAGTCAGTTGACCATAAGAGTAAAGATTTATTCCTGCTGAGGCAGGAGGATCGCTGTGAGTTCGAGACCAGCCTGGGCTACATAGTGAGTTCCAGGTCATTCTCTTACTACATAGTGAGACCCTGTCTCAAAAAACAAAAACAAAACAAAACAAAAAAAAGATTTATTCCTGGATTCTCAATTCTGAAATTGAAATAGATGGGTAGGTAGACATCTGTCCATATCCTAGTACCAACAAGTCCTGATTTCTGTAAATATATTAAGTATGAATCTGGGGACTGGGTGTGTAGTCAGTGGTAGAGCTCTTGCCTTGCATGCATAAGGCCCAGGATTTGGTCCCACCCAGCCCCACCACCAAAAAAAAAAAAAAAAAAAAAAAGTCTTCCATTTAAGATTGTTTTGGATATTCTGTACTTTTAACTTTCATAGGAATTTTACAATCAGCTTGTTTTTGCAAAGAAAAAGACTGGATTTTTTACAGAGAGACTATTAAATTTGTAGATCAATTTGAGGCATATTGCTTGTTAACAGTATCAAATGTTTTCAGTCATCATTGAACACAAGATGTCTTCCTTGTCATCTTCATTTTTCTTTCAAAACTGGCAGTTTTCAATGTGCAAGTCTTATTTTTTATTTTTACTTTGTTTGTTTTTGGTACTGGGGATCGAACTTAGGACCTTGAACTTGTGAGGCAGGTGGCAGAACCACTGAGCTAAATCCCCTTGTATTTCTTTTATTAGGTTTATTTCTAAGTATTTTATTCAATTTAATGCTATTATAAATGAAAGAATTTTATTTCATTCAAATTGTCTTCTGCTAGTATATAGAAAAGCAATTATTGGTCTTGTATCCAATAACCTTCCTAACATATTATCTGTTAATAAATCTCATGCTGCTTTTCTAGCTTCTTGAATATGCATATTACCCAGGAATTTCTATTATTTCTGTTTAATGCAATTTAAGGCTTTTATTTATTGATTGATTTTTGGTAGTGGGAATTAAACTCAGGACCTTGTGCTTGCAAGGCAGACAGTGGCACCATTAAGCTAAATCCCCAGACCAAGGCTGTCCATTTTTTATTACTGCTTTGGCCACAGATTTTTTATTTTAAGTATTATAATTATCATCTGTTTTCTAATTTAGCATTAACTTTCTTTTTAATCAAGTAACAATTTTCAAGGCTTTTGGGATCATTTTTTTTTTTTCAGACTTAGTTTGAGAATGCTATGATTTTTCTTATGAGGTCATAATCTAAGTTAGATTCTGCTTCACCAGCCACAAAGTAGGAATACTTCTATCAGAACTACAAGTAAATTAATTGGAATTACGTAGTACTTGTTTATTTTTGGACAATGTAAACAGAAAAGCTACCATGCATGGTAAGAGTAAGCTTTTGTTTAAGGAATGAGTTTTGTGCAACTTGATCATATTCCAAAATTTTTCTGAATGTTTTTGCAGCCACAAATAAGAAGAGTAATTCACCCAAACCAGCTCGGTCCCGTATAGCAGGTAGTTTATCACTTCGAAGAGCAGTGGACTCTGGGGAAAATAGCCATTCAAAAGGAGACTGTCAGACTTTGTCTGAAGGTAAATTTGAGACATTCAGAATATAGTTTTGGTGAGTAGATGTCAGTTATTGGAAATTGATGTTGTAGTGTATCTTTAGATCGAAAAAAATCAACAAAAATGCTGAAGTTCTACTTGTAGTGTCACTATAGAACAGACCCTGGACTCCTTCATTTTAAGTACCTGGTTTAAAAAACACTGAACTCAGGACTTTGCACTTGTGAGGCAGGTGCAGTGCCACTGAGCTAAATCCCTGACCATCTCACATTTTTAAATATATTTAAATTTTGAACTTTTTACTTAAAAATTGTGTATCCATGTTGAGATATTCTAATGTGACTAAGAACAAACTCTCACGTTTATTTGCCTTTAAATGAACATCCCTCTTCCTTTTCTAAAGGCTCCCCAGGAAGCTCCCAGTCTGCGAGCAGGCACAGTTCTCCCCGAGGCTTGACACATGGCATCATGAGTGATATCCTGCCCAAACCCGAAGACCGGCAGTGTAAAGCTTTGGACTCAGATGCTGTTGTGGTGGCAGTTTTCAATGGCTTACCTGTTGTTAAGATAAGAAAGAAAATGATAACCTTGGGGTATATAAAGTTCTTTTCTTGTTTGGAATATTAAGTCTGCATCATAATGAACAAATGATTTTCTACTTTTTTAATTATTTAGTGGGTAGAAAGTTCATTTATTGCATTTAAATGTAACTTCTTAAACTTTTGGAGACCCCACATTTTTTAAAAATGGGATGAGATTATACCAGAAGTTCAAGTTAAATATGTTTAGAGCTCATTTTCATGGAGATTAGGATAACAGTGATGTATATAAACTGTGTGAACTCTGCCTAGTGAGATTTGTGAAATTTCTTGGGTTTTGTTTTGTTTTGTTTCCTCATTGAGTTTATTGGTACATTTTAGGTATACGGTACAGTTACATTCATCATTGGGAACTTGTACCTTTTCTTGTTTTTGTTTTTAATCTGTCAGAGATATTTGTGCTGGGCTATACATATCACAAGTGTATCATCTATATTTTATATGGAACAAAGTACTTCCAGCAGTCTTAACTTTAACACTGCTTGGCTGCTTTTGGTCCACCTTTTTTTCTAAGAAAGCATGCTCAAAACTCATAGTTGGAATTTCCCAAAAGATATATGATAGTTGATACCTATATGTCTCAGGAAACATAAACTCAAATGCCACCCATGTCAATTAAACTTCAAAAGATAAAGTAATAATAGAATGTATTGTCTATGGATATGCTAGATAAGCCATAAATATCTTTCTCCTGATTTATGGATATGAAACATTTCTATATTTAGACAGACTAGTTCTACATTAGAGACTTTGAAAAAACTGAATTAAATTTAGAGAAAGACTGACATCCCTTAAGTTTACTTAATTTTATGTAGCTTTGTTTTGTTTCCAGTATCAAGGTTTAAATCTCAGGATCTTTATGTGGAGCTATATAGCCTCAGCCCTTTTTTATTTTTTATTTTCAGACAGTCTTAATGAGTCACTAAGTTGTCCAGGCTGGGGTTGAACTTGGAATCCTCTTGCTTCAGACTCCCACAGTGCTAGGATTATAGGCACTTGCTACTAAATTTCATTGAGTCTTAAGGTTTGTCGTTACCATGTCTAAACAGTCAACTGGTAGTTTAGGTTTTGTTTTAGTTCAAGTTTCAGCAGTAGAAAGATGTGAAAACCATGGTTTTCACTATTTTGTCTTTCCCATTACCCGGCCTGATAGTGTATGTGTTCCTTTTGGGTTAAAGCTGCAAACACCTTTTATATTTGGCGGGGGGGGGACCACTCTATACTACTCTTTTATTACTTTTATTTTACGTTCAAATTTTATTTTATTAGTAAATGTTTGTGGATGTAACGATTACATTCATCATGGGGAATTTGTACATGTAACACCTTTTTATATATCCTTCTCCTCCCCTTCCACTCTACTCCCTCCATCTTTTAGTGTATTTTGTTATAGAAATATTTTTATCTGCCTTTAGTCATAAAGATTAAACGTATATAATCATACATTTTCCCCTTGGAGTAGAAAATCCCATATACAAATGTTTGTAGTTCCTATCTGTAATCAATGTTTCAAAATGAAAAAGGGAAAAAATATTAAGTGAAAATTTCCCCACACTTGTTTTGGATAGGCCTTGTTTTCCAACTCCCTGCTATTCTTAATTTTTTATAATTTCTGTCTTCTCATTTTTATGTATATTTGAGCAACTATGATTATGTAACTTAGCACAAAAGCAATGCCTGTGTTCTCACTCAGTAATATATTTCTAAATTCTTTCCTTTTAGTAAGAGCATACTATTTAGAAGTTCTATTTTTTCATTGAAGTTTTTGATGATCATACACTTATACACAATTATAAGAAGTAATATAGAAAGATCCTGCATATCTTAAGTGGTTTCCCTGAATGATAACATTTAGCAAAACCATAATACAGCATTACAACCAGGAATTGATATTGATACAGTCCACTACTTCATAATCTTTCGCTGTGAATCTTTAGTGAAAATTTTCAAAAACTTGAAGTTTAGTATTAAACTTGGTTTGGGGCTCAATTTTGCGACAAGAAAACATAGATTATTATATCACTTAGTAGTTATAAAAAGTTGTCTTCTCTGTATTTGAGGGCTAATGCTAAAGGAAGTCGTCTGGAAGGAATGCCAATAACTGATTTGGAGAATAATTCCGAAACTGGAGAGTTACAGCCTATATTACCTGAAGGAGCTTCAGCTGCCCCCGACGAAGGTAAAGAATGATTAAGCAGAAGTACTACCCTTGTTTTGGTGCTTGTTGTAGTAGGTGTTGGTAGGAAATAGTTGATTTAGTAAAAATTTTACCCAGTGCTTATGTGGTACAGCCTGATCTGAACACAGTATTTATTGTGCCATTGATGTGATTTATTAGGCATTAAGCACAGAGGAAGGCAAAATGGATAATTTGCAACATAAAAGAACGTGGTGATGGACAAGAAGAGCTATTTATGGGGAGAAAAGTCTGCATGTTGTTCATCTGCTTAGTTAATAAATGTAATAAGCTACCTACATGCTAGGTGTTAAATTTTTGCTAGATATGCAAGATGAATTAAATATGTTCAGTCTTACAAGGAAGATGTGCCCTAAAACAACTAATAGAATAGGTTAAATCTTTGTCTTTTGAAGTTAGTCCTTTTTTTTTTTTTCTTTTCTTGTTTTTGGTTCTGGGATTGGGATTAAACCCAAAGCCTTTACTAAGGTACTAAGCAAGGTATTAAGCTACATACCCGGCACTTTATTTTGAGACAGGGTCTTACTGAGTTGCTACATTCCCCTGACTTAGCCTTCCAGAGTGTTTTAATCCTTCAGAATGCTTTCTTCCTCTTTCAGAAGCATTCCAAGCTTTAACCATTTTAAAATTCCCTTCGGGCCAGGGATTTAGCTCAGTGGTTCCGCTGCCTGCCTCATAAGCACAAGGACCTGAGTTCGATCCCCAGTACCAAAAAATAAATAAATAAAATAAAATAAAATTCCCTTTGCTGACCAGCTTCAACTGTACCAACTTATTCTTAATTACATGTCGTATTGTTTATTCTGTGTTTTCTTCCAGGTTCATTATTCTTTAAAAGTATAGAAGGCATGTTATTTTGGGTAACAGAAAGTGTTTAAAACAAGGCTATATCTGTTGTTCTTGCTGTATCCTTTATGTATTAGCAAGAAATAAAGTCAGTGTTTTTGATATTTGACATTGAAAGTTTTTAAATTTCTCAATGAAACTGTCATCTTTCATTTGGCTGCACTCATTTGCATTTTAGTGATTGATGAATTGTAGCTCAAAGTATAAATATGTACAAGTGCCAACATCTGCCTCTAGCTGCCCTTTGAAAGAGTATGTGCGTGATGGCACTTTCAGGTTTTTCAGTTAAAGAACACTAAATGTGTTGATCTTCCCTCTTACACAGTGCTCCTGCAGTGTGTAACATTATTTCAGAAGAAGAGATTAAATGGAAAAAAAAATTTAAGGTGATATGTTGATGTTAAAACATTAAAAAATACTATGACTGATGATACTTATAGAAAGGACTTGTGAGGATGAGCTACGTTCCTTGCATTTATATACACCCATTCTAAATTACAGTGGAGTAAATTCTTACAGCATGTGCTGGACTTAAATACTCGTCTTTTTCTTCATCAATTATGAAATGCTTTTAATTTGACTGACAGCACATTTGATGCTGGTGATAAGTTAATTCCTGAACCTACAATCTTGATCAGTTTCTCTTCCTTGCTACCATTGTCTTTTTGGATCTCCTAATTTAGCACGAGGAAGCTATTACTCTGCATTGTAGGATGCTTAGCATCAGTCTTAGTTTCAAACAGTAGGTTTCATTATTACCCCCAGTTACCACATTGCAGAATGTCTTCAGAAATCATCTCCACTCAAGAACCATTGGTGAAACTGAATTTCTTGCCAGAGTGAGCCACAGTTACTAATGAGACCAAGCTTGCTGGTGTGCTACATAAGTATGGTTGGGCAGAGGGAGAAAAATTAAACAATTTAAAACCACTTGGATAGGTGTTAGACAAGCCATTCGTAATATATTATTGAGTCTACACTAAGTTGTATAGGGAGCTCAAGTAGAGGTATATAATAATAATAATAGAAAATATTTACTAAGTCCTCACTGTGTTTCCCAAACTTCTGAAAAAACTACCAGTATTATTTTACATTCTCAATACAATTCTATATGGTACTTTTTTACTGGTACTCGGGATTGAACTCAGGACCTTGTGCTTGCAAGGCAGGCGGTGGAACCACTGAGCCAAATCCCCAGCCCTATATAGTACTTTAATACATTGATTTTATTTCTTTTTTTGTTTGTTTTTTTTTTTGATACAGGGTCTCACTGTGTAGTTGAGACAATACATTAATTTTATTAAGTGAGTGCACTGAAGGCAAGAAACTCACTTGCCCAGAGTCACAGGATTAATCAGTAGAAGGTCTAAAATTTGAACCTACAGTCAGTGCTCATAACTTTCATTTTTACTGACTTAGTCTTTACTCCACCCTTGAAAAGCTCATCCAAAGGCATAAGCAAAAGTTAGCCAGGTAGAGACTAGCAGCAAAAGCTGTGGCCATGGTGGAAGGTCGAGGTCAGCTTATGAAGAGAAGCATTGTACATCCTAGCTAGAATCTGAACTTTGTCCTTTGAATGGAATCTAAACAAAAAGTGACAGTACAATGGTGTTTTTAAAAATTTTTGCTCTGGCTTCAGTGTAGAGAATATATTTTGCAGCTGGAAATAGAGCATGGAACTCTAGGGGGCAGAAAAACTGGTAAGAAGAACCATGTTTAATAGTCTAGGTGAAAAATGTTTTGAACTTAATTTCAGCCTCCAACTCATAAATTCCTATTATCTTAGCAATTTTTCTATGTAAATAGCTGGTTAGCATAAAAAGCACTGAAAGTACTTGACATCACTTTATTTAAAGCAGAGTGATACCTTATCCTAAAACTAGAGAAATCATTTGTCTGGATTACATTTATATCTGCAGTGCAGATATAAAAAACTTCTTCAAGTTTTTGAAAGCATGTGATTATTGCAGGTAGGATATAGAGCTTTCCTCAGTAATACATCTTAGCTTTGTATAGGGAGTGCTGTGGTGATGTTATACATCTGCATCTCAGAAATATTGCTGTAACATGCAAATCAACAGTTATACAGAAGAATGTCCGTGTAATTTGTTGATATCTAAACAACTTGTTTACCATTATAGCCCCAGGATAGGCAGTGAGGTGGCAAATCACTGATAAGGCTGGTAACAAGGGAGTGCAGTAGACAAAAGTAGCTCTGTGTCTCTTGAAATCTGCTTTGTTTGTAGAGAACAAGGCCTTGCTTACTGCTGTGGGTATTATTCTATCAGTGGGAGCCAGTTCTCAGGAAACCTTTATTTTTTACACCTAGAAGCTTTGGTAGACAGTTGAGTGGGTTTGTCTTATATCCATGTTTAAAAAAACAGCTCTTTACTTGTGCCAAATACATCAAGAAAATGTTCTATGTCAGATCACTGTAGGCTTTTCTCATTCTTAAAGAGAAAGCTGTCTGAAGAAATTTTAAAATGAAGTGCTGTTTGTTATCAGTTAGGAAGTTGGGACTAATAAAGTGGTCTTCAGGATCAGTAAAATGCAACTTTTTTTGTTAGACATGAGTCATAAGCAAACCTTTTCCTTTGTGCCTGGGACCATATGGGACAACCTTGTATTATTAGTCTTCTGTTCATTAGTATGCTGCTGAAAAGTCTAACCCTACCTCAAAAGTGGATAACCTGTAGAACTATGGGTAGGCTTTTAGTGGTATGGAAGATTAAATGGGCCTTCACACTGAGCTACATCCTCAGCATATCTTATTATATATAAAAGAAAATTCTGTATAAATATTTTGAAACTAAATTTATTGATACATCATGAGATTAACACGTTGCCTTTGGCCTCTATAGTTATAAGTAGTACTCAAAGGCCATTAGCTTTCAGATATTTATTAGGTGCGCGCGCGCGCGCGCACGCGCACACACACACACACACACGATCTTGCTAAGCTGCCCCTGATAGGCTAGAACTTGCTGTCCTCCTGCCTCATCTTCCCTCAGATTATGTACCAGTATACCCAATGGCAGTTTCTTTCTTGATTTGTGTAAAACTTTTGAGTTTTAAGTTTCCTGCTAATGTAGCAGAGATCTCTTTTGTGTAAGTCAGACACTCAGAACACCCATGGCTACATCTATTAAACACCTAGCTGACAACCTAGCTAAGAGGAATGGGATAGCCAGGTTATGGTCGTGCCTGCCTGAAATCCAGCAACTCCCAAAGCTGAGGCAAGAGGAGTACGCTTTTGAGTTTAGTCTAGGCAACTCATGGAAACACTGTCTCAAAATAAAGAAGGGATATAACTCCTGCTTCTTGGTTTCAATCCCCAGTACCACCAAAAAAAAAAAAAAAAAAAAAAAAAAAAAAAAAAAAAAAAAAAAAAAAAAAGAAAAGTAAAAGAAAGAAAGAGAGAAATGGGAATGAGTCACACAATATGTGATTGCCTGCTGTGGCTGGTTGCTTTTAAAATAATTAAGTTACATTCATTTGCTCATGTATACATTTATTTTTGCCCTTGTCCACCACTTAGTACTGGGAGTTGAACCCAGACTATATCCCCAGCCATTTTCATTTACTTCTTTATTTTGAGGCAGTCTCATTAAATTGCCCAGGATGGCCTTAAACTTGTGATTCTTCTTGCCTAAGCCTTCCAAGTAGCTGGGATTACAGATTACAGATATATACACCACCCACCTGGCTCAGTTAAGATACCTTTAGCAAAAGTTACCAAAAAATCAAGCAACAAAATGAATATTAAAATGTAACCCTTTTGTATTAACAAGATGTCTCCTAATAACAAGAAGTGACATACTGTGGTAGGGCAGTTTCAGGGTTAGAAAACTTAGTTGTTCAGTGGCATCAAGAACTCAGGAGTCTTTTTCTTTTTCCATCTTTTGCTTTTCCATTCTCAGTGAGCTGGCTTAGCTCCCTTTGAGGTGACGGGATGATTACTACAGCTGTAAACTTCGTATAAAGTCAGAACAACATCCTGGGAGTGGGGAAGGGTTACTTCGTTTTGTTTAGCTCTATTTATCAACCAGGAAAACTTCTCAGGGTGCCTCAGCATTCTGACTTCCTCTTATATGTCTTTAATCATTCACAAGGATAAGTGGAAAAGGGCAGTCATTTGGTCCCTCCCCAATGCATTCTGTGTGACCATGGGAAGGAAGATACCTGAGCAATACTTAGGTTCTTTTAGAAGCAAAAAAGGCAGGTAAATTATTAGGGGTTATAATGCAAATTGTGTGCTGCCCCAGGTAGTTAATATTTTCCAAGCATCTGAATCTGATTAAGGAAATTATAACTCAGAAGCAATGGATGCTCCAGAAATGAAGTAGGCAATTGATATAGGTGTATTCTATTTCAGATTTTATTTTGAACTACAGGTTTCTGTTGCATTGTAGTATCTCTCAAATGTCTTAGGATCACTATCAAGATATCCAGCAATTTGTCTGTCTTAATGTATACACATAAGTAGTAAACTTCTAAATCTTAGTGCTTGGTAAAATATCAAATGATGTTTTCATATGTAAATTTTCTCCAATAATTTCTTGGAAATGTGTATTTCCTGAGTTCTGAAAAGTTAGTCAGGAAATGTTTTCATTGGTAAAAATTTTTCTGTTAGAATTAATTTGAAAAGTTAACACAGGAACACTACTAGTTTCAAGGAGTCTACTATAGCAAGCCAAAAACTGGTATCTATGGGCTGGGAATTTAGCTCAGTGATTCTGTCACCTGCCTCACAAATGCAAGGACCTGAGTTCGATCCTCGGTACCAAAAACGAACAAACAGACAAAAAACTGGTATCTGGAATCACAGGTCAGTGGAAGCAGGAAGTGCTCACCAGTTAGCCCTGGTTATAGCTGTTGCCATTTATGTGTGTTCTAGACCCTGTCTCCTGCTAAGGAAATATTAGTGAGATTACACATAGTATGCTTGATAAAAATCCTTTGTATGATGTTTCAGGAAATGAGTGTTCATAGCAAAATGAGTGTCTAAATTGACATTTTTGATATGTGGTTCTATACCATAAACCTTATTAAGAGTGCTAAATGTTACATTAGTCATAAATCACCCAATTATACCCATAAAAGTTTTTCACCATTTGACATATTTACTGTTGGCGATTGTTCATGTAAATACTAGTTAAATGTAATTTCTCATATAGTTAAATTTGGATGGATATATTTTAAAAAGACTACCTTAGATTTTGAAATTTCTGGTTCATTGTTTTTGAGTCCTAAGGTTAACATCTTTCAGCAGTTCAGTGTAGTTTTGTTTCAGCAGCAGTTCCATGAAAGGCCACATGGTGGAGGTGGTACTTCACAGAAGTAGCTGGTTTTGAATTTTGTAGATGAGTTTTACTCTTTCAAACAGTAAAGTTTTGTGGTGTTTATGTATTTTCTTCATTGAAAGTGAAGATTGTAGAAATGTCCATCTATTCAAATTCACCAATGAAGCCACATAGAGCTATAGTTTTCTTTGCTGGAATTTGTTTTAAATCAGAAATTCTATTTCTTTAATAGTTATTATCTGTTTTCCTGAATGAGCTTCAGTAATTTGTGTCTATCAACGAATTTGCCTATTTCATCAATATTTTTCATTTTCTAAAGTCAGTTGTTTATTCTTACTGCTGGGCTGATAGCAAGTGCCTTTAGTCCCAGCTACTTGGGAAGCTGAGGCAGGTAAATGGCGTGAGGCCAGCCTGGGGAATATATTGAGACTCTGTTCAAAACCAGAAAGTTGGCTTTATGCAGGGACTAGAATTTCATCCCCATTTTTAACTCCCTGTGATGGGTCCAAAGTTTGCCCTCTCCCACCCTCATCCTCAAGGGAGTATTAAGAATCTTCACATCAGACTCTGGAAGAGGACAGCTATAGCCTCTGACCCACTGGTGTTCCTCATCCTTCCCTGTTTCTGAAACCTATGGATCCCACCCGCCCCTCCCTCATGCTGGGGATTGAACCCAGAGCCTTCACACCAAGCTACATCCATAGTAGTCCTGTTAAGTCACTGAATTGCTCAACCTGGGCTCAAGTGATTCTCTTTCCTTGGCCTCTCACAGTGTTGTGATTACGTGTAGTGCTCTGAGCCCTCCTGTCTTTTAAATATGACTGTTTGATAAGATAATACTTTACATCTTTTTTTTTTGTTATTGTTACTGGGAATTAAACTTGGGTCCTTGCACTTGTGAGGCAGGTATCAGAACCACTGAGCTAAATCCTTGGCCCTAATCTGTATTTTATCTGGCTATTTATAAGGATTGTAGCAGAAAGATTTTCAGGTTTCCTAGGTCACTGTCTTGGTAATACAGAAGTACTTTCTATAGATTTTTTTCTATTCAAAAATCGACTGATGCTGAGCATTTACCAAAGAAATTGAAATCTGTATGTCAGGAGGATATTTACACTCTCGTGTTTACTGTAGCACTACCCACAATAGCCAGGTTATAGAATCAACCTAAGTGTTCATTAATGAATGAATGCATAAAGAAATGTGGCACATATACACAATGGAATATTATTGATCCATAAAAATGAGTGAAGTAGAATCATTGGCACTGATGCTTTTTAAAATAAAATTTAATTTATTTAAATTTAATTTATTTATTTAAAATATTAAATAAAATAAATACTGAAAGACAGATACCACATGTTCCCACTTCATGTGGAAGCTCAAAAGTTGATCTCAAAGTAGAGATGAGAATAGTGGTTACCAAAATCTAAGAAGAATGTGGGAAGAGGGAGGGAGGGGGTGAGGATAATTAGTGGATACCTGTGCAGTTGGGTAAGAGAAATAACTTGTGTTCTTTAGCACACTAGGATAACCATGGTTGGCAACAGCTAATTGTATATTTCAAAATAACTAGTAGAGAGGATTTTGAATGTTCTCAACATAGAGACATATGTCTGAGGTAATAGATATGTCAGGTTTCCCAGTCTGATCATTATCCATTATATACATGTATTAAAATGTTATACCTATAAATATGCACATTTACTATGTATGAATTAAAAATACATGCATTAAAAATAGAAAAAAACCCCAAATGATACACTTATAAAAACAAAACTTTCAGGCCCAAATATGATTTTAAAAAAGCCCTAACTTATCACTACATGGGTGTGTGTGTGTGTGTGTGTGTGTGTGTGTGTGTGTGTGTGAGATGTGTTTATATTTTAGGATTCAGACTATAGTGAATCAGGATTAAAGGAGTCTATTTTGTCTTATGACTAGAAAAAGCTGATTTGGAAAAAATATTCTCAGTATAATGAAATTAATACTGGTTTCAAATCACAACTTTAAAGAATGGTACTCAGCTGAGTATGATGGCACATACCTGTAATCCCAGCACTGGGGAAGCTGAGGCAAGAGGATCGCTGTGAGTTTGAGGCCAGCCTGGGCTACATAGTGAGTTCAAGATCAGCCTGAACTGCATACTAAGACCCTATCTCAAAACAACCCCCAAAAAACACAAAAACCTAAAAAATTATAGTAGTCAATTTTAAACTTTGAATACGAAAATAAAACCACTGCTCTAAAGCGAGATTTATGTTGCTTTTCTCTTTGTTTGGTTTGTTGAATTCTTAGCATTCAGTGTAAAATTTAGTAGGAATCTCAGGTTAGTAAATAAGCTTTCCTTTGCCTTTTACTTATGATGGTTTCTTGTCAGAAACACGGTATCCGTTTCTTTCCAGGAATGAGTAGTGACAGTGACATTGAATGTGACACTGAGAATGAGGAGCAGGAAGAGCACACCACCATGGTTGGATTTAATGACTCTTTCATGGCACAGCCCCCAGGTGAAGGTGCAGCACATGATGTCATTTTACACAGATTAACAAAACTGTCCCTGCTGTTTCTTTTTCTTCTTGTGCTGCTGCTGCTTCTACTTATTCTGCTCTGCTACTTTTGCTTCTTCTGCTTCTTCTTCTTCTTTTTTTTTTTAAATGTAATTTGTGAGACAAGATTCTTTGATAAACTGTATGGTGAGTACTAAAATTAGTAGGTAGTGTTTGATTTGGTTGGACACCTAATGAGTGCCACTTCCACAGCCTGCTCTTGTACAGCAAGTGACCTCAGAATGGCTTTAACTTATAAAGAATTGTAAGAAACAAAGATTTTTTTAACAGTGACCATTTGAGGCCTGTTGTGCTAAATATTTGCTCTCTGCCCCGTTTGTTTGTTTGTTTATTGGTACTGAGGATCGAACTTGGGACCTTGTGCTTGTGAGGCAGTCAGTGGAACCACTGAGTTAAGGCCCTGACCCCAAAAATTGTAATATTTCCTTGATATCTTTTTTTTTTTTTTTGGTATCAGGGCTTGAACTCAGGACCTTGCACTTGCAAAGCAGGCAGTGGCACCACTGAGCTAAATCCCCGGCTCTTTGCCCCTTTATAAAAAATGTTTACCAACAAGGTTTCAGCTATTTGATCTGCTTTCCTTTTTTCAGATTTTCTTCTAGCATACTATAAGATAATTTAAAAATAACCTTGAGAGCTGGGGATTTAGCTCAGTGGTTCCATTGCCTGCCTTGCAAGCGCAGGGACCTGAGTTCGATCCCCGGTACAAAAAAAGAAAAACAAAAAAACAAAATAAAAATAACCTTGATTTCTTAGAAATGCATGCTGATTATGGAATCAGCAATTTTTTATTCTTATTTTACTAGGTGGTAATAGCTCCACCATTGAGCTACATCCCCATTCTGGAATCATCAATTTTTATTCTTTTTCTCCCAAGAAACTTCTTAGGGAAAAAACTCACCAAGAGAAACCTGTTGCCGTGATATTTGCATGTGTACTTTAGTTGGCTTTGAAATACATTTTGTGTTCACAGTATGAGTCTTGAGAGTGTTTATCATCCTCTCTTGTTCCTTCAGCTGTTCCTTCAGTGTCCTCAGGAAGGCAAAAGTTAGGCAGTGGCTTTCAGCTTCTATTTGTGTATGTCTATCACACATTTTGGTTTTTCTCCTTCATTTTCTCTTTGTGTTTCCTTACATGTGACTCAGATAACAACCTGCATACCTTTATCATTTGAATAACACATTTGGTAAGATCATTTAAAGACTTGAGAAAGAAATACACCATGTTGTGGTATCTGCTTGTGGTTTTTAAAAATGTTATCTTTTCTTTTCTTAGATTCTCATTCCAGTTTTCCTGATGGTGAGCAAGTAGGCCCTGAAAATCTCCACTTCAGTACTGATGAAAACAGTGGAAGGTAATTGCCAGATCAAGGGAAATGACTTACAAGCTTCCTTGACACTGAAATTTGTTGTAGTTGGTGCTCAAATTTGTCATCAATCAGATAATCAGATTTAGTGTCATTTTTGTCTTCATCTGTACCTGCAATAGTAATTGAGAAACTGTTACAAAGTAGCACAATTCTAGTAGAAGAGAGTAGTATGTGGGAAAAAATTAACAGTGCGGGAAGAGTTCTAATATAATAAAATAGTGTGGCCCTTAATTTAGCAAATTAGTACATTCACAGAAGGCATTTACTGAAATGTCAGCTAACTGCCAGAAAGTGTACCAAGGCAATGCATGCACGCATAACTTTCTCTTGTTGGTACTCTTCTGTCTTTGGCTAGATACTCAATTGTGTTTAAATAACTGCCTAAGTATTTGGGGTTTTAATCACAGTTTATAGTTTCTTTTAGGACCTATGGAGTAGTGAACAGAAAAACTAGTTATTGATTCTTTAGAATAGAAACTTTACATGAATAACCAAAGTAACACTAAACGAAATCTCCTTTTTGGAGTATGTTGACAGACTAAAATTTATTTATTTACCATTTCTCTTGTTCAAGTGCAAGAACACTGTTTAATGGCACATAATCTTTTGGCAAATGTAATTTAAAATGAATTAATGTGGATTGGTTATATGTGGACATATTATTTAAATTAAATGTTTGTCATTTGAAATTTTATTTTTTATGACAACCTAGTTTCTATCATATGGATATACCATAATGATTCCACTGTGAAGCAGTGGAAAATTTTTTTCTGCCTCTTAAAATACAACTACACAAAAAAACCCAACTATAATACAACAATATTTTAAAACCATCTTTTATTCCTTATTTTTATTGGATATTGATTTCAGTGTCAAAAATTAAGACTAATATATTGCAGAGTGTCTTACATCAGAGTGAAACTGTGATATATATAGTTTTCTTTCATACAAAGAGTAACCTGCACCCCAAAATTGCCAAACTTTACCATTGTGCTCCTGCATTTGTTTGAGCTGCTATATATTTGTGAAAATTACACTGAAAGTTGACCAAGAGACTGTTGAAAAAGCATGAATAACTATATGTACATGAGAGACATTGCATTAGCTTATATTTTACTTAATATTGTTCATTTTTTCTTGTTTCATGTCTTGCTTGAATGCTATAATACATAGTCTTATTTTCAAAATAGTTTGCACTTTTTGTTAATAAAAGTTAAGTTGAGCAAATGAGCCTATGAAGTTTATTAAAAACTGGGATTTCTATTCTATTACCTATGCCTGTTTTGCAATATAGACAAGATCATTCTGTGAAGAGGGGTGATGGGCAACTTCTAGTTATACAATTATAGTAACCCTCAAAGACCAAAAGATTTCTTCCTAAATGATAACTTTCATTCATTCATTTATTTATGGTACCTAGGATTGAACTAGGATTGAACTCGGGACCTTGTGCTTGTGAGGCAGGTGGCAGTACCTCTGAGCTAAATGCCTGGGCCCATAGATGGTAACTTAGTTGCAACTTGTTCTCAACTAAATTCTTCCCCTGGTTCTTTGCTAACCTATATATGAAGTTGGTACCCAGGTCTTTTTTTTTTAAAGACTGGGTCTAAGTTGTTAAGGCTGGCCTTAACCTCCTGTGTTCCAGCGATCCTCAAGTCTCCTGAGTAACTTGGACTATAAATAGGCTTACTGCATGGTACTAGCAACATACCCATTTCTTTAGTGGTGGCAAGTACTCTGGTACTGTCCCTATTCCTCTAGGCAGCATGCTTGCTGTGGCTATGCTAGATTTCAGGTAGCAGTGAGAGAGGGAAGAGGCCAGAAGAATTGCTCTACTCTGCTTCCCCTGCCTGTTTGCCCTAATAGTGTTCACCATCCCCGCCCCCTCTGATTATCTCCTCTATTACCTCGCTTCTCTAGTGTTTTTATCTTAACTCCTGCAAAATTTGTCTTTAATAGTTTGGTGGTGGTGGTGGTGGAGGTGTTTTCCATCCTGGGAGTTGAACCCAGAGCCTCACACGTTAGACAGGAGCTCTAGCAAAGAGCTACATTCCAGCCCTTAATAAGGTTTTCTCTTAGGCCTAAAGAGTAGTGGTAATGTTTGTATTGGCATGAGCATATCATTTCTAGACAACTTACCACTTGGGTCATTGAATCTTCCAGTAACATTTTAGATGGAGGAGTTGTGTATCATCCCCTTTGGCAGATGAACCTGAGCTTCAGGGTGGTCATCTGGTTTTCTTGTTTCAAAACAGGAATGGGATGGATTGCTGGTGTAGTGCTTTCACAGCACATCACCACACTTAGTTTTTTCACACCAGAGAAACTGTGTGGTATTTACACGTGTGACTATTTATTTCACTGAAGAGTATGACCTCAATATTTCCTATGAATGACTCTAATTTCTCATTCTTTATGGCTGAGTAGTACTCCATTTTATAGAAAAACCACATCTTCATTATCCAGTCTCCAACTGATGGGCAATTGGGCTGTTTCCAAGTTTTAGCTATTACAAACTGCCGCTATAAACATGGGTGAGCATATATCACTGTGGTGATTCTTTTAATTCTTTTGGAAAGATACCCAGCAGAGGGATAGCTGGGTCCTATTCAACTCTTAACCCACTAATTTTTATATTCATTAGTGGATTTTACCTATAGTGATTCTTACAGTAATATACTAATGATACTTTTTGTTTTGTTTTGTGATAGCCTTTTTAAAAAATGTATTAGTAACTGTTTGCAGTACATGATTATACTCATCCTGGGGAGTTAGAACATGTACTTAACACATCTTAATTTTTCTTTCATCCCCTTCTTCTCACCTTCCTCCTCTAATTAATGGTAATTTTCTAGTTCCCTAATTACTTTTATACTTTTATTAGAATTTTGTAAGAAAAAGTTATCTCTTTCTCATTTTTTACTCAGCTATTTATTTATATTGGTATGGGCTAATAATATTGGGTACTTCATTCTTTGAATTACAACCCAGTGCTATCGTTTTGTGGCTCAGTTTCAGTTTGGCCCTTAGAAGCTCTTTTCAGACTGGTCTGTATGTCCTTTCCATCCCTTCCTTGGTTTTTGTTTTGTGTTTTAAGCTTTTTCCCTCCCTCCCTGCCCTCCTCCATTCCTCCCTTCCTGACACCAGGGGATGTTCCAAGTTCACCTTGAGTTTTCCCTACCCTGGGCATGGGATCAACCACTTTTTTTTGGGGGGGGGGGGGG